ACCACAACCACAACCAAACAACAACATCCACAGCATCAACAACAGCAACCGCAACGGCAACGACAACCACAGCGACAACCAAACAGCAACATCCACATCATCAACAACAGCAACAGCAACCGCAACGGCAACGACAATTGCAAAAAACAATCACAACCACAACAACAGCAGCAACAACAGCAACAGCAACCGCAACGGCAACGACAACCACAACGGCAACCGCAACCACAACAACAGCAGCAGCAACAACAGCAACACCAACAAGCAGAACAAGAACAAAAACACAAACAGTGGCAAGAACAAACACAGCAACAGCAACAGCAACAAGGCCAGCAGCAGCGGCCATAGCAACAGCAACAACAACAACAATAGCCGAGAGAATGGCGACAGCAACAACAGCGACACCGACACTGACGCCGACAGCCGCAAGAACCAGTATCAGCAAGAACAACTGACAACAGCGTCAGCAGCAGCAACAGAAATAACGACAACGAGAGCAAGCCGGTTCCTTTAAGGTCTAGGCCCCAACATGCAGCAGGAGCTTTACGGTTTTCATTTTATGCAGGGGCTGCATGCAATCGCAGCTAATAGCACAGTAGCACACATTTCCTTCTGAAGTGACAGCCTCTCAGTCATACTGTGGCCAACGACCAATGCAGGTGCCATTCAGAAGCCGACTAGAAAGTTATTTGATCCAAACTTGCCGGCGCCATCCAGCTTCAATCGTTTGGTCTCCTTTCAATCAGTTTCCGCTAGAGGTCTTCATTACGTAAAGTTTGTTTGAGCTTTTCAGCTCACAGCCACTTACGAGGCAACCCGGCCAATGCTACGCTGCGTGTGGTGACGTCGCGGAGGCCACCGCAAGCACTTGATGCGGCGGTTGAAGCAAATCGTGTGATTCCAACTCTTGTGAAGGCGATGTAGCGGGCCACGAGGAACTCCAACAGTGAAGGATCAAGGAGCTAGAGGGATTGTGGTATAGATCTCCTTAGCTGCGTGTTCCAGCTCCTTGCCTGACCGTGAATCATTCCAAAAGTCCGCAGTTAGATACTTAGATCAATGGTTGACTGTCATTGATAAATATTGGCGAGCAATGTGTCACAGCCCTCGTATTTGAAGCACATGTTTGATATTCACTTCATGCCGCACGCAACAGGCTTCTACAAAATCCTAGAATATTCCATTGGCAGAGAATCTGACTTGTTTGACTGCATCATGGAGTTGTGCGACTCGAAGGGTTTCCAGGACTGATATCTTTGTCCAAGGCTTTTGTTTATGCCATTGGCGTACTCGCCGGGTCTCATCACCCTCCCCTGGCCGCCGGCACGCTCAAAATGCTCAGAGGCCCTGGAGGGGAGACACTTCCCGCTGGTTGCACCCATTGTCTACCCGCTCCTTCCTGGAGAACGACTTGGGTTTGCAGCCGCTGCTCCTGCGAAGAGGCGCTTCCCTTCGGCCATTCAAAAGGTTGACCTCGGTTTGCGGACTGTGCGAAAATGCAAAAGGGGAAGTTGCAAGGCGCAATGTGTGTTCCACCTCCATTTTGTGATGGGGAGTAAGACATGAAGCAGGCCGTTCATGACACCCATGGGCCAATCTTGAACTTGAGCCGGATACGGGTTGTTCCGAGTGGGTTGAATTTGGCTGTACCAATGTTCATCATGAGATGCGAGATCCTCCTTGATTGATGAATTCAACAGGTGAGTCTATTGATCAGAACGCCACACTGTGCGTATTATATTCTAGTTGGCTCGAGCAGAGCGTGCATGCACAAAGGTTTGGTGGGGGGGGCATCGTTGTGTCTGAATATGCAGTTTGGAATGTTTGTGATTTGAAACTTGCGGATCCTGGGTTCTAGCGCCCCTCGCACCATTTTCCTGTGATGTTGTGTTTTTGTGTTGTGTGTGTGTGTGAGCTCAACAAGGAACGCAATGCCACAGATTGTCAACTCAGCCTCGAAGTAGAGGACCCCAGCATATTTGCATCTAACAGCGGCGGGTGGGTGAGTGGGTGGTTGGATGGGTGCGCGTGTGTGCGTGTGTGCGTGTGTGCGTGCGTGTGTGTGTGTGTGTTGTGTTGCTTTTCTGAGGATATGTGTTCTATTAGGGCCTGCGTTTTCTATTGGAGGGGACGCATTACTAGTTTGCAGCCACCAGTGCAAGGTCAACAGTAACCGGCCCAGAACCTGTGAATTGGCATAATATGAGTGCATGTGTCTTCTTGTGGTATTTCCTGTATGTTTTTTTGGTCGTTTCGGGGAGACCGCATTTTGATGTCCACCCAATTTGAAGACGAGCACCGAGGCCCCCTTCACGCACTGCCGCTGGCCGCTGCCACTGCAGCGCAGCTGCTGAAGGGCTACAGCAGCCCGGCGCGGATTCGCGGAGTTCGTGGGTTTGTTTAAACAAAGCGGGCCGACAAACAAGTTCTTGCGTTGTGGCCTTTCCATGAAAACAGCTTCACAAAGGGCACCCTGAAAGAAAACATGGGTTGCTTTGACATATATGTGAGTCACTGACAAAAATGATTGGTCTGCCATGTGTGCGGTTCGCCTGGGGTGGACATGTAGAGCAAGGCAAGTTTCCCAAAAACCCAGGGGGAGAACAACATGTTTCCTTGTTCACTTGGGGAACAATTCATTGTTCGGGCGTCATCTCTTGCTTTTTGGATGGTGGCTTTGTGGGAGCCATTTTGTCAGGAAAACAGAAGCCATACCATCCAGTTTGGATTCCCCTAGTTAGATGCACATGGGTGCAACTTTGGCGGAATTTCTCCCAATTGAAAGCCAAGGCTGTAGGGGAACACAAGCCATGAAAGAGTTCACACTGCCGGGTAGGATCAACATTGCCAAGACCGTCCCATGGACAGGATGAGGCTCGTAAAGGCCAACATTCGATATATGCAAGCCAACTGAAAACTGTCATTTGAACGGGCGCTTGTTATTGACGAACGTGTGAATCAAGCAGGGGTACTTCTTGCAAGGGATTTGTCAGTGCAAAAGACCTTCTGTTGGTATTACGATGGTTTCCTGATGTGTTTGAGTTTGGCATGAGCAAGCAAGAGTTGAGAAAGAGAGGGAGCATACATTGATTGACATCTAAGTTGAACCTAGGATGAGGACGAACAAGTCTCACCTTTCAGTGTGTGAGGAACCAGCATGTTGACGATTGTGAATATGCAAATTGCCAGAAAGCAAATGGGATTGTCACATCGGATTCGACTTGCTTATGTTGACTTTTGAGCCTACTGCATAGCCACCGGTCCTGCTCCAAGCAACTCAAGGCGCAAGGAGGCTTCCGATGATGAATCTCACCAACGCAGGTGCTCAGTATGTTCAAACTAACTCATGTTCGTGGCAACGTCGGCTGCAAAGGATGCTCCTGATGTTGTTCAAGCATTGAGAGATGCCTCATGGAGTCTCAGCGGCGAGGCATTTGCAGTCTCATGCCACTCAAGGTATGTTGGTTGAGTCTGTTCCGTGACAAGGAGCACGTATGGGCCCACCCCAAGATGCAACAGCTGCATGCTGAGATTCTCGAGGTAAACCTGGCCTTGCGTTGTGCAAGCTCTTCCTCTTTCACCACCTGGGCAAGGGAACGAACGTGCGAGCATTTGAAGGCCAACTTTGTCAAAGCTTGGACAGTTGCTTTGTGACGTTGATCTGACTTCTCACCTGCTTGCAGGGTCACGTTGTTGCCTGAGGTCTTGGCATCAATGCGCATGTCATTACAGCAAGGCGGCTTCGGCATGTGGAGTGCAGACTGCATTCTTGAGCCATGCTCTCTCCAGGGCGCTGCCAAAAGAGGAAGACTACCCCACCTCTGATGAAGGTCCATCTTGGGGCAGTTCTTCATTCAGGTTGCTTCACTATTCTAGTTCACCCAAATTGCATACTACAATTGTCTCCCTTTCATCTGGATTGACCACAAGATTTGGCCTGTGCTTGAAGATATTATGAGCCAAAATCCAATCATTGTCCTTTCCGGATTCGAACAACTGCTCTTCTTGCTTGAGTACAGAACGGTGAATTTGTTTGATCTCAAGCAGTATAGCTTTGTGTTTGCCACTTCAAATCCTGGATGGTCCAGACTATCTCATTTTTTTGGCCATGACACTGACCTCCATTGCAATGGACAGTTTGCTTCGATCAAGCAATGCATGAGTAGCACCACTGTCTAGGCTTTCCTAAGCAGATGGTTGTCCATAGTGCTACATATGGAGTTGACAGATGCCCCAATGGCACCGCTTGGCTGTGTAGAGCCTGTGCACACTGCAGGGTATCCTTGTCCAGCAGGTGTGAGTCATTTTTTCCTTTGAGCCTCGGGCACTACAACCTAAAGCCTTTTAAAGCTTGTGAATCTTCTGCTGAAGCATTTTTTCAAGGCCAGACACCTTCATTCCCTGATTCACCGCTTGTTCGCTCAAGGCAATGCAAGCTGGAAGTATTCCAGTGAGTCTTCCAACAGAAGAGCAACTAGAGCCAACTTGAGCAACGCATCAGTCAGTGATGCCATGCACCTCAAAGCAAGGTACAACAATTACTGACGACAGTGCAACTTCATGGCACTTGAAACACTTCGACCAACATGAGTACATGATATCGTACTATACGTAGCTCTTGGCGGCACCCACCACGCGCTTGCATCTCGCTTCAGGCGTTCTCGAGAAGTGCCGTTTGGGGAAGACGCACTCGAAGCAGTGGCTCCTCAGCTTCGATTGGGTGGCGGTTAGCTCATTCGGAAAAAAAACAGTGGAAAAGCGCAGTGAGGAGGTCATGCCATCATCATGCCTGGAGACGGGCATAAACAGAAAACCTGGAGACACGCATAAACAGACAGCTTTGAGGCATACCCCCGCAGCGTGATTGTATATTGCTGTTGGCAAAGCTTCTCTCAACCAAAGCCGCTATCATGTCTTAGCGACTCTATGCCTCATCCCCCATGATGAAGGCCGTTGGAATGATGTTCCAGGGAGCTTGGCAGCAGTCAGCATTTGGCAGAATGGATGTGCGCTGATGAACTCAGCAGCCTCCTGTTGTATGGTGGCTGAAAGCATTGCAAGACACCGCAATCCGATCATTCAGCAGGATCTAACATGGCAATACTCATGCTTCTCGTGCAGGCCTTTTTGTTGAGTCCCAGACTGCCTGAGACCCGGTGATTTCCAACTGTTGGCGGTATACTGCATTGGCATGGGTGAAGACGAGATACTTGGACTATTGGAGTGCTGTAGTCTTTTGACAGGCCATGCGCTCAACCATTTTTGGGGATGCAGGGTAGTATTGATCAAGGCGCAACTCGAGCCATAATGTTAGAAGCTTTGCAGAATCAATCATAAAATCGCACGACACGACACCACAAGAACTATCACTGGTTATTACTGGTTTGGATTGTTCTGCCGACTAGGATGTTTCAAATGTAAGTAGATTTGTTTGCACACTTCTGTGCTACTGCCCTTCCTGCATCTTCTAGTTGCGAGATCATGTTGCTTTTCTCACTTCTCTTGAGAAACATGATCATCGCCTTACCTGTGGCTGGACTTTGCAGTCAGCCAACTTGAATTAGCGACAGTGACAGAGTTTGGAATGCTTATTTGTTTGGATGAATTTGATACAGATTTCACTTTGTGACTCCACGAACAAGTTGCCTCGTGGGATCGAGGCAAGATCTTCTGACAGAAGAGGATTGGGTGTGGTGGTATCTCCTGAAGTGACATGACCGGCGGGGTATGCTGAGACACAATCGCCCCCCTCATGCATTTATTTAATGATTTATTGATTGATGTATGTATTATTTACTTGTGATCATCTCTTGTTTTCAGCTAAGTTCCAAGATACGGCAGTGTGTCAAAACCATGACCCGGACTCCTCTCGCAATTCTTCTCCAGTCCACGGAGCTGAGAAAAGCGTCTCACAATACGGAGAAGCCCGAAACGCCTGGTTTCCTCTGGGTTTCCCTTGGCCTTTAAAGGCAAACATCCCCAAAAAACACCAGCGGGCGAGCCTTGACAGACCCCAGGCCCGGGGCCTCGCGGTGCAGCTCTCCGAACTGGAGCGCTACCGCGCGCATCATCTGCTCGGCGGCCAGCTGCTGCGCCAGCTCCGAAAAGTGGCCCCAGGCGAGCGAGGGGCGCCTCCCAAAAGGGGAAGGGCCGGCGCACCGTGTGCAGAGCTCAAGGGCAACGCTATGGGAGTGTGTGCATTTCATAGTCTATTATATGTATAATATTGCTTCTTAGATGCTTTTTTGAAAGGCCCTCTCCGGTCAACCGCAGGTCGAATTAACAAGCGCAATCCGTGTGGCAGGCGCGGGAAGGTGAATTTTCACACCATTTTACATCTACAATAGTAGAATGTATTCCGGCGTTGGTCTCACCCTGTAGGAAACTAGGAAGAGAAGGGTTGTAGTCATTTGGACTGCAAACAGTGCAACTTATGTTTGGACACGGCCATGTATATACGCAAAGGTGTTCATATCTCTACATAGATGGCTATGGTGCCTCGGATTATCTCTGCAACAAACCATTGCGCAGAGTGTTTGTTTTGTTTTTTTTGCATGGAGCCATACCCAGGCTGCATCGGGACGCTGACGACTCTCTCTCTCTCCCTTTGTCGAGAATCTTCTGTTGCAAACATCACATGTTCTGCGTTGACCCCTGCTCCTAGCCTACAGTCAGTACCACATTCAGGTGATTGCTTCATTCCTAGCCACTGTAGTTTGAGCCGTATGTTTGGGGCATCGCCTATCTACACTGCCAACAGACGCGCACACACACAGACCTTTGTGAGCCATCGTGGAGCATTCCCTCTGCAGGAATTTACCTTACCCGGCAGTGGCGATTTATTGGGGTGCTTTTGTGGGGGCCTTCGTGTAGGAATAATGGGGTTGAAGCTTGCTGGCAGACCTGGCAGACCTGGCAGACCATGCTTTGCAGACAACCCTTTCTAGTCTCCCTTGCCGAGCTAGATGAGAAGGATGAACAGTTTTTGTTGTGCCTTTGAAGCACCCAAATCTTACTCAAGCCACCAATCCAGATAGTTGCCCCATTCATCCGACGAACGAAAGGTTCACAAAATGGGTATGGCTTTGGGATTTGAGGCGCCCGGTCTCCCACGCTGTCGCTGGTCTGGGCGGCTCCCTATGCATCCCCCCAGCCCAAGCCAAGCACGGAGCAGCGGCTGCTGCTCCAGCTCTATGGGGCGCGGCTCGTGAGGGTTCCAGGGAACCCCGGCAACTCCGTACCAGTTGTGGTCTTCTGGGCCTTCGGACTATGTCAAGGTTCACTACATGATGTTTGGTTGGGTGCAAAAGCTGTCGCATTTCTGGCATCCTGTGGCTTCCCTTTTCTTTAACCAGCCTTGACACACACGATCTACTTCAAGGGTTGTGCCGACATCAGATGTGTGTTCTAAGGTAAGGGACCTATAAAAGGGGTGGATATCCTTGCAGCCGAAAGGCAGTCCCCGTTTTTGATGTCCTTGCATCCGAAAGGCAATCCCGTTTTTGGAGAAACAAAATGGGCATGTGTCACACCTAAGTCCCGTCTGAAGCATCCCTACATGAGCCACCAGACCGACCGAGTAAGTACGAGGGTTTGAGGGCTTTGTACGGCTTGAACCACAGCATGAAGGTATTGGGGTTCCAAATTTAATAATCATGTATTGTTGTTCATTGCTTGCAATGAGTATGCATGGAGTTGGCATGCAGTTACGACCGTTGCAGCAAGAAGCTATTAGCAGGCTTCTGAACATTAATGCTATGCTCGCCTGGGTTAAGTGAATGCCAGATAGTTGTTTTCCGAGTTTTTGTTCGGCTGGTGGTTCTAATTCATATTGCGTGACTCCACATATTGAGCGCGAGGGCGGAAGCAATTGCCGCTAGTTCTTTGTACTGGCTTGGCGAGGAGAGGGAGGGAGAGAGAAGGCTAGGGCGCATGAAATGCGATGGTGTACCGCCGGCTATGGCTTTGCCTTTGAGTTTTGAATTCTCCACGAATGGAAAGCAGACTGCCTCTTCTATGTTGGTTCCCTGCCCGAATGCCTATGCTGCCATTTGGGTGGTTTGACTCTCGGCCAAACTCACTGCCGCAAGAACTATTGCTGCTCGGGTTTCCGGGAGCGGGACGCTTGCATGTTGGCTTTCAACATTTCATGCTATATGCTATCAAGCCTTGAAGGCGACTGCCTACTTGGCATTTTTGTGGCATGTGACACATCAGGAACGCGCAGAAGCCCTTTTGGCAATTCGCTTCAAGGATTTGGGTCCCTCACATTCCAATCTGAAATCATTTTGCAAGGAATCTGGTCTATTGGGAAGCCATAAAGCCACTTTGTCAGCCGCTTGGGGCCGGGTTCGAGCCCGGACCCGTGTCTTTTCCCGCCCGATGTCAGGCAAGGCAGTGGAGCATTTGCCCTGGCCCTTGCCAGCGGCTGATGCTGCGGCGGGGAGATGCCCTCTACATGCCCCCAGGCCGAGGGACTATGGCGAAGGTGGAAATCCGTGAAAGTGAACACTCTGGGCGCCACAAGCGTGTAGCAGCACAACATTGCCATGTTGCTTGATACAAGCGTCGCTTCTACTAGGTAAACGATGCAGACAACTTCTGGAGCATGTTGATATTGTTTGAGTGTCCAGTGGCAACTCGGCGGAGCCCCAGGGTCGGTGGAGCTCGTCTAGTGGGGACCTTGTGCTTGTGTCAATGTGCTTGCAAATTCGCTGCGACCTGCTTGTGTGCACGTGTCTTTTCTCTTGGCACACACACACACACGCACACCAAAGAAGTCAGACATGGTGCTCTTGATGAGTGGCCACTCCAGGGCTTACCTCAAAAGGCGTCTTTGGTTTGGATTGGGCGCCCAGGGTTTCTTCGCCTTCTCAAGCGACAGGCACGGAGCACGTGGCGCTGCCGGGGCCGGCGCTGTCGGCGCATCTGCTGCTGCGCTTCCAGCCTCTGACACTGCGCGAGCTGATGCTGGCGGCCGGCGCTAGTGGCTTCGCAGGCCGGAAGCAGATGGGCGATGATGGGTGTGTTGGAAGCAGATGGGCGTGAGTCTGCGTCTTTTTGCTCAATGCTACGATGTTTTGAGCGGCTTCAAGGAGGAGAACTATATCTTTGTAGAGGTGCGACACATACCCAGATGTCAAAGGTTCATTCAGTAGGCAAGAACATAAATGGACCTGAACAAGTCGTATGTATCAAGATACTTCGAACGGCTCGGTGTTTGCAGGGGGGGGGCTTTTTTTTTGGCGGATGTGCGCGTCCGCTTCTATTTGCCTTTGCCTGGCTTCCAGATTCCAAATTAGCTGGAGTAGGTGAAATTGTGGCTGCTCGATTTCGGATAAAGGAATATGCATGCAGAAGCTCTGTTCATGGGATGCTTTGCAATTTTGTGTTGTGTAGCCGAGGGCGCTTTGAATTGCGCCGGCAATGCTCTTTTGCTGTCCTGTTTGAACCAGTTTTTTTTTAATCCTACCTAAAATACTTAGAGGACCACAGTTTCAGTGGGCAAACAGTTGGCAGACTTACAATGGTTCTGACGCACCAAGTCGAACCTCCAAGTTGGGGGCCATGTTGCGTCAGGCCCCGCTGCCTTCCGGCCTTTGCCGCTCTGGAACCCCCAGCCTCCACTTGCGGAGCTGTGCGGCTCGACTGGGATGGGAGCAAGTCGCCGAGCGAGAGCAGTCCTGACCCTGAAAATCAGCATGGAACCCACCTGAAAGTCACCCTAAAATGTGTTTGGTTTTTCTAAACATGTCAATGCGGGTGTTAAGGCTAATGCACGATCCGTCGATTTGAGCACAAGAACTAGCCTGTACCGACATACCCAGGTTGAGAATAGCCAGTGGAACTGGATTCCTGCAAGAGTGCAATTTGCTAGCGGATTCGCGGACCCCGTGTAGGAACTAGCAAGAAAGGTCCCATGACGGGACTGAATTGTTGTAGTTTCATTTTCCCTAGAAGGCTCCATTCAACCAGTGTTGACAATGCATATGCAGTTCAGGTTGAGACAGTGGCTCATGTCAGCTGTGATTTGAATGAATGCTCTTCATGCTGGGTTTTGCGAAAAGAGGAAACATGTGTATGCATCTATTGCCTTTTGCACCGTTGGCTTGCTGGCAAGCGGCACCCCGGCAAGAGTGCAAGCCCTTGGATCTGGGCTTAGTGTTGACAAATGTGCGTGGATACGGCCTGACTGTGCTTTTGTGCAGACTGCCCTCTAATCTAATCATTTGCTTTGTGCTGAGCAAAGGCCAGTGAGGCTAATGTGACCTGAGGTCACACCGGTTTTCGTCGCTACTAAGGCTAAGGTTCGACAAATCATCCAGGCACCACACCATGTTGATGCTTTCCAAACGTGTTGCTTTGTTTCTAGCTCGCTTACAAGACTTCGGCTTTTCAAGTTCGGGTGTTTGGATCCGAGGCTTGCAGCTTTCCTGGCAGCGCGGGCACGCCTGCCAGGAGGAATGATGCACGTCTCAAGTGCATCCGGTGACAGCGCGTGGGGAGGGAGCCTCACCCATCCTCGAAATCTTTTGTGCAGGTGAATTGCGCTGCATTCTGATGGTTTGGGGGGGTCCGGTGAGATCCAAGTGCCCTCGCCGGTTTTGCTTCAAGTTTCATATTCGTGGATTTGTTGCTTTATACTCCTTCACTGGCAAGGGCCAAGGGCCATGCAAATGGATCCATAGCATGGACTATACTTAGCAAGCCGACTTATCTCAGGGTTGCTCCGGGCCTGTGAAAGATGGATCAAACAACAGAAGCAAATTGGTTGGTTTCCGCTTGCTTTGGGTTCAGTCGAAGAGACCTAGTCTCCAGGACCGCCTGCGCATCGCCCTGCAGCGCCTCGTCCTTGGCGCCGCGCCCCGTCCAAAGGGACCTCCCACGCCCAAAGCGGCGATCGTTTCGGCAGTGCCAGCGCCGGCGCCTGAAGCGGAGGTGGTGAAACAGGATGGGAAGTGGATGGGTGGACTCGGGATGTGTGTGCTGTTGTGTTGGCGCTTTTTGTTTTTGTTTAAACCTTAGTTGCGTGTCGAGCTTGCTGGGCATGTTCTGTAGTTGTGGAGATGTGAAGCTGGGTTTCGAGTAGGATGAGTTATGAATCACTGCTGGGCGATTCTGCCAGACCGCCTGTGCCTATGTGACCCCTGATGTATTCGGTGGCTTTTGGGCAGTCAATGGAAAGCGTTGAAAGGTAATGCCTACTGGGCGCAGCGGAACCTTCTGAAGTGGCAAGTGGAGTATCTGAGATCAACCAGTGAGATGGTGACAACCACCATGCACAAGGGCACACTTTGCTTTGAGAGTCATTGACAGCAAAATCTCCGCTGCCGGCGAGAACGCTGGAAGCTGATATTAATGTAGCTTTCCCGCACAGAGCTGCAGATAATGTTGCAGAGCCACATGCACAAATTGATCGAGCAGGCCTTCCGCAGTTTGTACTTGGGTGCGTCTCGAGGGTGCAAAACATTGAAAGCACTGGATGGGTTCTACCTCTTTCTTCACATAAATGCATGATATGGAGAAGGCGGTGCACCCTTGGTTGCGGTGGCGCGAATTCGGGCACAAGTACAAGTTGTTGGGCATAATCTAGGAAGCACAGATGAGCAACGTCAGCCGGACATGTTAAAGGCGTCAATCCAGGCTGGGGGGAAGCATGACGTGAGTTGGGTGTTGCATGGTTTTTTAGGGCAGGGTCAGGAGAGAATGCGCCCGCTTGTTTTTCGGCGGTGGCTTGAGTGGAGCAAAAAGCATATCTTGAAAGTTTTCGGCCGCTCACACTGACCATGGCACTCAGCTTCCAGGAGCCCGCGGGTCGTCAAAGGAGGCGGCGAGAGCTTCTTTTCCTGGCGATGCTGTGGCCCGTGCTAATCCTGGTGCCCTGGCCGTGTGTCAAAACCAAGGGGCCCTTTCGGGAGTTGTGGCATGTGTATAAAGAGAAGTTAACCGTTTGGCAGTGTCCCCAGCTTAGACATGTTCTGATTGTAGGTTAAGTTGAAACACAAAGACATGCATCTAATGAGATTTGCTGATGGTGCTTGACTTCATTGTTGTTTATTGCATGATGTTCAATCATTTGTGTCCAAACTTGATGTTCAATCATTTGCATGGATAGCAGTCACATGTTTACTTCAAAGTACATGTTGTGTTCCTGGGGAGTGTGACTTAGCAACTGTGGAATGTAGATATGCCAGACACAACTGGAGACGTCTACGCAAGTGACATTAAATACAGGCTTGCCGCATTTTCTCAAAATTTGGTACTCGTTGCACTGGCGGGGTCCTTTCAACACCATGCCAAAGGGAGGGGTCCGTATTCGCAAGACAAACCCACCAACAGACTGGATCGCTGCCGACAATCTCGCGTGCACTTTGAAAAAGGCAAAGGCTCCGGTCCTCAAAAGCCCAAGATGCGATATGCAGGACCTCATGTGTTTAAACCGCTGGGACGTGGCACTCAGGTGACCATCCTCGCATTTCTGTGCTGTTCCGCTGGTGGCGGCAATGTCCGCTCTGAGGATGCAGCGGCAAAGAAGCGACAGTGACAGATTGGCAAAAGATGCGGCGGTTTGCAAGCGATAACCCTAAAGAGATCTAAAGAGTCTGAAGGTTAGAAAGGTACGCAGCGTTTAGGGTCAATCACTACAGTTGTCAAGGCAAATGCAAGTACAATTCACAGAATGATACGAACAAAAATGGGGTCCCTTGAGTTCAGACAGCATAGCATGCTTCGCAGTAGGCCCTGCACTTATCCCATGAGTTTCCATGCGGAACCGACACAGAGCGCTGCTGTGTGCCCTCCAAAGCAATGACAATGTCGACTCCTTCGATGCCTCATGTAGGGCCATGGCTTAAAACCTATGATGCCCGAAGCCAACATGAAACCCGAGAAAGACTACTTGCCTCTCACCATAAACATGTAAGTGCACAGATCCCTTTTGGAACACTGCCGTCGTGTGGCACATTCATGTTTGTTGGTTGGATGAGTGCAAGGCGCTGTTTGTTCATTGCAAAGTTTCAGGAGCCTTTCGGTGACCCTAGCTAAGAGGAAGCCTGCGGAAAAAAAATAAAAACTTTACTGCCGCCTTTGCATGCCGTTCAGGTGGTAGTTGTTTTCGATGCAACAGTTGTGTTTTGTCAAGGCTGTTGGGCTGTGGATGTAGCGGTCATGCTTTTCTTTGCCGGCATGATGCAGTCTGAGAGCTGCAAATCGGCGTCGTGTTGCCCACCGGATGACTGTGCGCAAACAGCCCATGTTTATACTATGCATGCAACTAACGTTTCAGTTGTTTGGCGAATGCCCAGGTTCGCGCACGAGTTCTCAGTACAACACCTGCTGCTGCCAGATCGCCAGCAGGCGGGGCATGGGAAGCCGGCCCAGTGCGAGGCCCTTCATTTGACAGCGGAAAGCCGAGCTGAGGATAGCACACGGTCGATCCTGTTTTCTGAGTCTCTTCTCAAGCTACTGCCAGACAGAATCGCACGGCTTCTCCGCAGTTGTTCGCGATTTGCAAAAACAAGCAGATCTGTTCTCATATAGCTCTGGTTGCCAGGAGTCTGGCTGTTGCCTGATGCAAGCCAAGTCAGTGAAAGAGGTATAACTCGAGACACTATGCCTACAATGGGGATGCTTAAATCTATGTGTGCACCTGTGCAAGCTCGCAATTCGTGTTTGCTTATTAATCAGTGTTGCTGTTGCAGGATATGGTATGCTTCAGGCGTGAGGATCACTTGTCGAAATCCTGGCTTGTTGACATACATCTGCTCCACATATGAGGCTCATATCACAATTGTATCTGCTTGCAAATAGACATGCACATGCTGGCACTTCCGCTGTTTATTGCCACTGATTGTGCAACTTGTAGCCAGAATTGAAGTCGTCGCTGCCTCCTGTTCAAGTAGGCGCTACCGCTACGCCTGAACATCAAAAAGGAATGTGTGAATTTCAGGACAAGCTAAACACACATTTCCCCGAGAAGGCAACGCAAGTTGACAGACACAAAAGGAACCAGGAAGGAGTCAGTCCGCATATGAACGTAGGCACTTTGTATCTTGCTTCGATTTGCAAAAAGGTCCTTGGACAGTAGATATGTGGCACCTCAATTGTAGGTGAATCTACTTGGATTTATTCATGTATATATCCATATTGTAAAATAAAGCGATCTCGATATTCATGTTATATCCCTACATATATATATATATATATGTCCCAGGGCGCATGGATATGTATGTTCTTATATGCCATGCCCCTTATCATCTTTTTGATTGTGTGCTTTAGCTTTCTCCAAAAGTTGTGGTGTACCAAAGGAGATCAGGTCCTGCAACTCTGTCCGGGTTTCCCAAACTTAGGAAGACAGTGGGTTAATGCGGGGTCTCGCCCTCGACGTTGGTGCCGGATGCACTCCTAAAAGGCGCAGAGACAGGTGGCCAGCAAAAATGAGTGTGCCGTTTCGTGCCCCGAACTAGCATGGTATTGATGCGAGATACCCTCCCCCAGACTAACGTGGCTCCCAGGACCCCTTTGGAAGACTGGGTCCCATTTACAGAGGCCTTCTGGGAGCTTCCATGTTAGTCTGAGGGAGTGGAATCGACAAGTAAATTCAAGATCCTCAACGGAATTAGGCATGTATCGGCACCGAAACTCGAACACAGGAATGTGGGATTCCTCCTCAACCGCTTGAAAAACATGTATAACATGGACCTCAACAAGGGGAGTCTAAAGACTCCCCAGAAACAGATTCCTCGTTAACAATGGCCACGTCGCGTTTGGCTGAGGCGCATACGGCCTTGCTTGACCTGACGCCCATCCCTGTGACCTCGCTGCACAACCCCAACTTCGAGAGGTGCGACTGACTGAGTCAGGGCGGCGCTGTTGGGCTACCTTATAAAATACAGGAAAAGCACAATCCCCCCCAAAAGAAAGAAGCAGTAAGACTGGGCGGTTTTCCCAACCGCAATCTCCAGAGCCCTTCCGGAACCGCTCCGAACCACTCGAGAGCCTTTGTGGGCAAAAGCACCGAGACTTTCATCTATTGAGGATAAATTCATGCCAAGCCCCAAACAAAGATGGCAACAGTACCACCCGCACCCTGCACGCAAATCTGGGAATCCGTGCCAGAGGCCATCGCCTATCTCTCGGTGTGAAGACAAAATGGTGAAGTGCCCTTTTAAAGGATGCGAAATGGCACCAGGGATCCAACGGGGGTCGTAATCTTGTCAATTCCCCCCATGTGTGTTCATCAGGATGTAGGGCACCGGTGATTTGCAGCCTCCAAGCTCAAAGTGGCACGGATATTGGACATGTGCACTAGGAAAGGGGGCCCCCACCCTGCACACAAAAGTCGTTTCAGAGCACATGTTTACCGCGCGGCATCCGTGGAAGCATCGATTTGGAGGAACTTCTTGGAGGAACTTGCTCTAAACGACCCGGCGCACTACACAACCCTACTGGGTGAGGCTGCTTTGCTGCCAGGTTGTACAAGTTCACCCATTTCAACGCCATCCAGACGCAGGCGCTTGGAATGATTCAGACCTGGGAGAATCAAATGAATATCGCATTTGTCGTTTCTTGTTTGGAACCCAAACATCAATGTTCAATGTCTACGCCTGTGGAATAGATGGCCACTTCTTGTTTTGAGTCGCGGTACTCATGTCCTGGGAACAAGTTGACAGGTGCTGCTTCGGAATGTGTGCACGCAGGGTCAATGCGTCAGGTCTTCCACACGTGCTACCACACCGATTACAACGTTCTGCTCGGTGCGCGGGCCCCGGCCAAACTGTTAGGCGGAAGTTTGTGAGCGACCGAGCCCGTTGCATCGACATCTTTTTTTGCCAGTGGGACCCGATGGTGCTGGACATGACTTGCATGTTACAGCCAACGTAGGTGGTTTGCGCAAGAGAGAGAGAGAGAGTAACAGAGGTTGAGGCTGCGCCAAACGCCTGTGGCAGATCTGGCATATCTAGCGACAGCTTGCTCTTTACTTCCTGTGAAAGAACACTCGTTTCAAGCTCTGCTTCATGTTCTTTTCGCGGGTATGATAGGTATGGATCTGGGTGTGTGTGTGTGTGCCGGAATTCTTCATCGAAGTGTGCTTGCTCTGACGTAGTCACTCACAGTGAGGCATGCAGCCATACAGCCCACGTTTCTGGCTGACCGCTTTGTAAACCCGTCTCACACTCAACTCACCTCCATGTCAATTGCTTCGTTTTTTGGCGGGGGTAGCACAGCAACCCATGGGTAGTTGGGCCAAACTGAATAACCTTGCCAGTTTCGCGAATGGCAACGGCTTTTCTTTGCTTTCCTGTTCTCTTTGCAAGGCCAGGCGATACGTGGGCAGTCTGCAGTGTCGCATGTTGGACGCAGCTTGTTGCCCTCCTTGAGCGTTGTGTTAGTCAATCAACGGGATCGTGCTGTTTGAGTATTTGTGGTGCTTTCTCTAATCGCGGTGGTGATGGTGGTTGTGGTAGTGGTGGTGGTTGTGGCGGTGGTGGTGGTTGTGGTGGTGGTAATGGTGGTGGTGGTGGTTGTGGTGGTGGTAATGGTGGTGGTGGTGGTGATGGTGGTTGTGGTAGTGGTGGTGGTTGTGGCGGTGGTGGTGGTTGTGGTGGTGGTAATGGTGGTGGTGGTGGTTGTGGTGGTGGTAATGGTGGTGGTGGTGGTGATGGTGGTTGTGGTAGTGGTGGTGGTTGTGGCGGTGGTGGTGGTTGTGGTGGTGGTAATGGTGGTGGTGGTGGTTGTGGTGGTGGTAATGGTGGTGGTGGTGGTGATGGTGGTTGTGGTAGTGGTGGTGGTTGTGGCGGTGGTGGTGGTTGTGGTGGTGGTAATGGTGGTGGTGGTGGTTGTGGTGGTGGTAATGGTGGTGGTGGTGGTGATGGTGGTTGTGGTAGTGGTGGTGGTTGTGGTAGTGGTGGTGGTTGTGGCGGTGGTGGTGGTTGTGGTGGTGGTAATGGTGGTGGTGGTGGTGATGGTGGTTGTGGTAGTGGTGGTGGTTGTGGTAGTGGTGGTGGTTGTGGCGGTGGTGGTGGTTGTGGTGGTGGTAATGGTGGTGGTGGTGGTGATGGTGGTTGTGGTAGTGGTGGTGGTTGTGGTAGTGGTGGTGGTTGTGGCGGTGGTGGTGGTTGTGGTGGTGGTAATGGTGGTGGTGGTGGTGAAAGTGGTGGTGGTTGTGGCGGTGGTGGTGGTGGTGGGTGGTGGTAGTGGTGGTGGTTGTGTATGGTGGTGGTGGTGGTGGTGATGGTGGTGGTGGTGTTAGTGGTGGTGGTGGTTGTGGGCGGTGGTGGTGGTTGTGGTGGTGGTGGTGGTAGTGGTGGTGGTTGTGGTGGTGGTGGGTGTTGGTGTGGTGGTGGTAATGGTGGTGGTGGTGGTGTGTAGTGGTGGTGGTGGTGGTGGTTGTGGTGGTGGTGGTGTGGTGGTGTGGTAGTGGTGGTGGTTGTTGTTGTGGTGGTGGTGGTGGTTGTGGTGGTGGTGGTGGTGGTGGTGGTGGTGGTGTAGTTGTGGTAGTGGTGGTGGTTGTAGTTGGTGGTGGTGTAGTGGTGGTGGTGGTGGTGAGTGGTTGTGGTGGTGGTGGTGGTGTGGTGGTGGTGTAGTAGTGGTGGTGGTGGTTGGTGGTCGGTGGTGGAGGGGTGGAGTGTGTGGTGGTGGTGGGGTGGTTGTGGTGGTGGTGAATGGGTGGTGGGTGGTGGTGATGGTGGTTGTGGTAGTGGTGGTGGTTGTGGCGGTGGTGGTGGTTGTGGTGGTGGTGGTGGTTGTGGTGGTGGTGGTGGTGCTGGTGGTTGTGGTGGTGGTGGTGGTGGTGGTGGTGGTGGTTGTGGTGGTGGTGGTGGTGGTGGTGGTGTATTGGCGGTGGTGGTGGTGGTGGTGTATTGGCAGTGGTGGTGGTGTTTGTGGCGGCGGCGGCGGCCGTGGTGGTGTATTGGCAGTGGCAGTGGCAGCAGCTGTGTTGTATCATAGGATATCATGGAATCATAGGAGGATCTTTCATTGCTCACTTCAACAGAGCTTCTGTCAAGCACAGTGACTTTCCATGCACCATCATGTCTCCAGAAGTCAATAGCCTGAGCTGTGTACACGTCAAGGAAGTGTGTCAGCAGTACTTAACAGTGCGTTTGTGGGGAATGGGAGTTGACTGTGTCTTTGTCACTCAAAGCTTTGTTACTTCTGCACCAAGCTCCGAGCATTCCTCGATTCATTGCCCAGGCTCCCACTGGCAGCGGGAAGACGAACGTGGCAGAGCTGACAATGCGCCCTGGTATGTATTGCTGAAGACAAATCAGGCAAACTCATGCCAACACCATCAAGCAAAGTTACCTCATGGCTCAAACTGTGCCATTTGTTTGATGCTGTCTGAAAACCTGATTCTCAGAGTCTAGGTGTTTGACCAAGTCAACTCGGTCCACTTGTTCTTAAACTCAGGCTTACGAGCCCCAGTCAAGGCTAGTTCTAAGGACAAGCAAGGCACAGCTAAAACAACATGCGTAACTCGCAACATCCAATGAACTTTCGGAGTGTTCGGTCGGAAGCTTCTCGCAGCCAGCTTGGTTCCGAACTTTGGATTGGAATTCACTGGTTCTCGGCCCCGCCGTTGCCCGGCATGTGTCAGTACCTATTTGGGCGGAAGTCGTGACTGAAGCCTTGGGATGTGGGGGTTGTATCCGTGCGTGCAGGTTCCGACTCTTCAACAACACCCCAGACGAGAAGGCAAGTGGGCAGAATGTGGAACCAGTATGGCAATGTCAACGACCAAGTTTCACCAACTGATGACCAGTCACACCAGCGCTAAGTCACCACCCATGTCATTAGCAGGCAATGCGGGCGGACAGGATTATAAATCCAATAACGCTCGCGTTGTTTGTGCGTTGCTGCAAGAGTTTTTCCAGCAGCAGTGGGCATGTCAGTGACGGCTGTTTGTTTGGCAGGGCGGCTGGGTGAGCTAAGTATAGGCAGCCGCAACAGTGGATAGAAAGCAAAAACAGCGAACCTGTACTAGAAGCGACATCATTTGGGTGTGGGCATGATGACGACTGGAGATTGGTACATGCATGCACCTGGCGGAACTGGGGCCCAGCCAGTTGCATGAAAGAGAATTGACAAGTTAGACATGTTGGATCCATGCCAAGACGAACTAAGCATTGGAACCGTGCCTGTTTTGTGGGACCCTTGCCCTGAGTTCATGTTGGGTGAACCATGGTAAGGTGTGCTTTCAATGTTCATTGCAGTCATTGCATTTGTTTGCAGAACAACGACACATAATGAAGAACTCAGTGCATGCCGACTTTCCCGCAGCGTGTTGCTACATCGGCATGTGTCATAATTGCTGAAGTTGCGGCACGTATGAAGATCTATCGCAGAAGTGCAGCAATTCTCTTTAGGTGTAGGTGTGTGTATATATGTATATATATATATATATGAGCGACTGCCTTTGGTAGTAAAGGCGGGCCAGAAACATCTTTTTGGTAGGTGCAAACAGAGGTTGGGAATTCCCAGCCATCCAACCATGTAACAAATAGCTGCTGTAGCTATGTACAATATAGTATGTTGAATATCCAGTCATAGGTTGCCTTCTGCAGGCTCAGCACTAGCCAATGTTTCCAATGGGGAGGCGCTTGATCCAAGCCCTTGCCATCAGTTTTGATGGGGCTGTTTCCCTTCAAAAAGGGGCAAGTTACCGGCATGTGCACGACATTTGGCCCAAGGCAGTTTCACCGCTAAAGCTGATAAGGCTTGGCTAGGTTTTACAAACCCGAGAGGACGAGCGGCCATTCAGTAAGGCTGATTCGACAACAAACATGTACAACACTGTGTCCAAGAGCCATGCGAACAGGACATGACAGACTCGCAGACTCTTGGCAGAAGCGATATCTCAAAGCTTCACCAACATCATTCTTAGTCAGGATGCAGACAAGTTTTCTTTTTTGAGCATTTGGCTTGCCTTTGCACTTCAAAAAGTCGCCTTCGCTCGCAGCGGCGTCGCGCCTGCTTGAGCCAACTTTTTACATAAGTTCTCCCGGAATCGCTGGGGCGTCTGTCTTCTGTGCTGTCAAGGTCTGACAGCTCAAGTGGCACAAGTCTCTTTCCCGGACAGTTACATGAGTGATTGTCCCAGCACTAAACTATATAACACGTGTCTTGCTCCATCTCGTTCCAATGTTGTGTCAAGCCAAGCACGTGTTGCCAGAGCCGATCACTTCAGACTCTTGAACGCCGAAGCACAGACGCCGGCGATCCACTTTTTTGCCTTGGCTTTGAGGCGGGCTGGGGGCTGGGAAAGGGCCTTAAGCTGGCTCTTGCTAGTCCCTTTGCAAGCTATGCCAAGTCCCATCATCACCATGGGTCGTCAACAGAAACCGTTAACACCAATATACAACAAATGCTAGGTTTCCTACTGGGCTCTTGGACTTAGTGCCCATGTTGCGCTATCAACCTCTCTTCAGAGAGCCCTTTGATGCCCAATATGTTGAGGTGAAGTAACAACTATAGCGGCATCATGTTCAGTCCAGTTTTTGGTATTCCACTTAGGCATTTGGCGCTTCAGACCATGCGATGCAACCAAGCAAACAGCTCCAACTGTTTTACGTTCCAGCCCCATCAGACTGAGGGCACGCTGTGCTAGGGTGCCCGCACTGAGTCAGTTGTTTTTGTTCTGTTCGTGTGCGCTCCAAACCTTGGCAGGTAGTCTTTGGCAGGCAGTGCCCTTGGTCCTGCATTTCTTCTTGCCAAAGAGGGCATGAACAAATTTAACTGCAAGTTTGACATCACCTTTGGGGCCGCCTTTGGTTGCTTGTACTTTGGATGTCAATCTGCAAATGCATTTGAACCCAATTTAGAACCAAACCGAGGTGCGCAATGAGATAAACGAAAGGCCTTGATTTGAAGGTGTCTGTTTCTGTTTTTGTTGCCGTCCTCGAAAGGCCATGTCCTTGCGCGCGCCAGCGGTGACGCGGACGCAGACACCTGAGCAGCCGCAGCCGAAGAGGACAGAGGGAGCAATTCATAGCATAGTAGCGCGCCATACATTACATATATATATATATAATTATATATGCATACCTGAATCTTCAGGTGTGCATTTTTCCCACCGTTCGCTGAAACAACACATTTGTTCTTTTCTTTGGTCAACAAAAAGAAACGCTTTTTCACTGCAAATGTGTCGTTTCAAATTTGGCTGGAAACATAGTCGGGGAAAGTCGCCGTTTGGCTGGGCATTGTCGCCGTTTGGTCGGGTATTGTCGCCGTTTCGCTTGCGTGGATTTGTCCCAGAAGGGTAACAAAGAGAGAAGTGCCTGGAGACGAAAGAGTGTTGCTTATCTGAAAAAGCAGCTTTTCATGAAATGGCATGAACAAACACACTCTGGAAGATCCAGGTATGTACCATCTCTCCCTCGTTTTATGTATAGTTTTGTTGATTTGGTCCCCCCATGATCTACCTTGTGTGTGTGTGTGTGCGGATTCTGTGGCCCACCTCTACAGGTTGTCTGAACAAGGAGTCTTAACCACTCTATCAGATGCTGCGGATTCCCTTCAGAGCCTGAGCAGGGCCCCACAGTAAAAAGTGCATTACCACTGCGTGCTAGCATGACGGTGCCTGCGTTAGCAAATTTCGGCTGGCTCTTGTTTGGCAATCACAAAAGTCTCGCAAACGTTCGCAAAGACTTTGGTTTTGCATAGCATGTCGGCCTAAGCCACTGTAGTGTGCAAACACATTCGTGTTGCCCTCGTCCGCAACTCCCGCAGTGTGGCAGGACGCAGCAGCCCCGGTCGAAGCATCAATCTTCGGGAGCAAGCAAAGGCCACGCGCTGCGCTGCTTGTGGCTTTTGCCAACTGACAGCTGATGTCAGAGGGTTGGAACACAGTGGGGACATGCTTTTGGGTTCCAGGCCTCAAGCAGCTCTTGCGGATATTGCCCCTTTCGCTGCTGCGGCGGCTGCGAAAGCGGCAGCGACGCTGGCGGCAAGCGGTGGCTCAGTTAAAGTGGCCACGAGTTTGGGGCAGGGGTTCCAGTTCCGAAGGAATGCCCAATGGCCGCTGCAAATGTCCAGTGTGAATGATGTTTATGAAAAGGTGCCAGAGTCAGGATCATACCGGGTTCTGTGGGAAAAAAAAACGCCTGTCTCCCCAAATGCTTTTTGACTACAGGTGCCAACCCCGTTGCCCCCCAACTTCAAAGTTGCCTTCGGAAAAGAAACACCCATTTTGGCTTTAGACGTCACAGCTCTGCTCGACAACATTGAAGTTGGGGGGCCAGGGAGAGTGCGGGGAAGACAGTTGGGCAAGAGAAGATGTGTTTTTGTTGTTTCTTTCGCAGAACCCGGTCCCAAGTAGGGATGCCTCAAATAGGGATGATTTGTTGTATCCTGATGGTTCTAATTCCGAACTCTAGCCAACGGAAGTGTGGATTGGTGATTAGAGTGAACATAGATCCCCCTGACAGCATGTAGAGGAGTTAGCTGGGTGGCACGTCACAGCTTTCGCACATACACAACATACACGTACACATAGGTAGCGAATGGCACAGTCCTTGGGAAATGCGAGAGCAGCTGGGTGACGGCCTGTCTCATGTTGCGGCTTCACCATCTCAGCCAGAAACCAAAGATAAGCTTTGCGGACAGACAACGGGGACATCACTTGCCGTTCTGTCAGACAACCCGACCTGACTCGAACATCTTTAATCATCAATCACCTTTAGTGGGTTGGACGTACTTGTGCATCATCAAATGTGCTGCTCTGGCGCACTACATGCATAATATATATATACATATACATATATATATATATATATATGATCAAATAAATTCGCACAGGCATAAGCTTAAAACAGCGACTTGTTTTTCTCCATGCCCCATCGGACTTAGTCTTGTTTGTCCCCTTGCAGTGGTGGCATAGCAGAATTCGCCTTGTGAACTTACCCCACGCTGGTCCCGAGCGTCAGGTTCTGGGCCGGGAAGATGAAGGCAGAGACAGGGAGGCCAGGGTTTGAAGTTCGCGTCAGCCTGCACCTCATTGATGAACCCCTTGTTCGACCCCGTGGATGGCATAAAGTGTCACCAGGTTTAGCCTTTTGTACGAGTGAGAGGTTTGCTGTTGGATCAAAGAGGCGAAACTAGCAATGTGCAGCACGAATCATTCAATTGCAATTGGACCACACGAAAATCGAGGGCTCAGAATGATACCTCTTTCGTCACTCCATCCTGAATTTGTGTTGTGCGGCTCGACACTTGCATTGCTCGCCGTGCTTTGTAGCTTGTGCCTCCACTCAGGAATGCCTGCACTCATTCCTGCTGCGTCAGCCAAAGACAGACGCATACTCGTGTCAGCTCTTTTTCAAGAATTCTCTCTAGAGCCCTTCTGACTTGTGGTTGGACTTGTGTGCATGTGTGACTTTTCCTTGAGCCAGGGTCGGGTCCCAGAAAGTGGCTGAGCCATGGAGACTTGGCCAGCGCAAAGTTTTCTTAAAGGCATGGCTCACAAGTCAAAGGCATTGTGTTGCTCCGTATGTGCTGTGCTCAATGGACTTTGCTTGACACCGGTACCAGCTATCCATGGGATTTTGTTGTGTTTGTGTTAGTTCTCCTTGGCGACAGACTCGAGGCATCAGGAAACAATTTACAATGGTAGTTCCGGGCTGCTCAGATGTTAGATGAAGGCTCCATGTCTTTAAATGTCCAAAAGCAAACAACATGCACACAATGCACAACAATGGACTCGTCAGGACAAAAACTGTTTGCAAGGCATGCTTGGTCAATTCCCAGCACCGAAGCGACGTACGCCGTTCTTGTGAGGTTTCTGGCTAGCAGCCACCCAACCTTTTTTGTTGTTCTTGCTTTTTTTCGGCGATACTTTTGCCTGGCGTTTGAAGGAAGACCAAAAGGTTGCCAAACGGAGAATAAAAAGGACCACCTTGAAAGCAACACAAAAAGTGAAACCACGGAAAAGCCAAGCAGCGCTGGACTTCTTTCCCATTGTGAGACGCGCCCGACTGACGGCAGGACAAGCCCGTGGTGCTGACGGACTCCGTCTGCCTCATTCCCGGCGGTGAGCCCGTGGTACGTCTCGAAGATGCCCCCGGCAACGCGCGCCCACCGGCGGCATTTGAGTGATCCCCTAAGCCACAGGGATATGGGTGGCTGGGCCATCCCGGTTGCCCAGTGGGCACCCTTTTTCCCATGTTTTTTTTGGGATGGGTTTCCCTTGAACCAAGCAGACAAGGGTGTCCTTTTTGTTCACGGCCACTGGTTTTCAGAGCAACTTTTGTGCGATGCCAAGGGAACGCCGGTTGGGGGAAAGGTTGGACTTTTGAACCACTTCCAACGACACCCCGGGACCGTTACCATTTGCCGTAGTGAAGAATATTCATTGAGAAGGCCTTCCAGACGGTTGCAAACCCAGGCTGAGCACGAAAGCGGTGAGCCGTTAGTTTGCATATTGCAATGAATAGTGACGGACGGCAAAACTTAGTATACTTTTCAGGGCAGGAGGGACGTTGGGGACATCTCCACAACCATTGGAAAACAGATGACATGTTTTTGTTTTGCATTTTTGCTTGTCTATGTTGTGTGAGATTATGATGTGAGCCTTTGCCGCAATTGTTTTGGCTCATTAGTCGAGGATGTGGCTGGTCCGTCTAATTGACGTTTTGGTATCTAGCAGGTGTCCCCGCAGCTGTGTCCTTTTCACTATGATACAAACTGTTGCTCAGAATATCAACTGTTGGAGCCTTTCTAAGGAATCCTTTGTCAGCAGACTTATCATGATGCGGAACTAGCAACAAGCAGTTTAAGGCAGATGCATACTCTGAGAGCAGTTCGCTGACAAGTTATGGAAGTGAACAACCTTCCCCCACAGTGGCCTGCCTTCAGACAAGATCGGTTTCTTAAAGTGCAGCACCAAGGCGGACAAAAGTTGTTATTCGAAACTGGGGGGACATAAACAGTAATATTTATTTTTGGATTTCCGAAGGACATCAACCGATTGGATCAACAATTTTGGGATACCCCACATGGTGGCACCATGCCGGGTTGCATAGAGCACGGCTTCAATCCAGCGGGTCATGTGCATTGAGTTCCCGATTCGGCATCACCGTTGGGAAAACATCCTGCTGATTGCACAGCATTGGGAGAAGCACCACATCCAACACCCTGCAATGTTACTGCCCATACTGCCTAGACGGGCTTTGCGAGCTTGTCAACAGTGGATCTGAGGTCGAATCTTCACAGGCTGCGCGGTCAGTGGCTGTATCGCTCTAGATGTCAGATATGGTTTGCTTGGAAAGTTGGCAGTGCTTCTAGGATTTGGTTTTCTTGCTCCCGACGTCCAGTGTGGACAACATGTGTGCCCGACCTTTCAGGGAAGAAGCGAACTATGCCTTGGTATGATGATGTTTATTGCAACTGCGACGAACAATGTAAAAAGGAAATCGGACATGCCGGTTGGCAGGTTTGATATTGTGTGTTTTCGTGACAGATGTGTTTGATTCAACGTATTGCCGGATTACCTTTATTGCGTCAATGGTGGGAGCCAGTGCTGACCATTAAAAAAAAACGCAAGCAAGTGTTCACGCGTAAGGGAACACCGCTTTTGCCATTGCAGGCATTGACATCCGCGCTAGCGTCGACGAGGTTTGGACAGTGATGACGAACTACGAGAAGTTAGAGCGGCTTGCCTCGAGATTGGCATGTTGGACGACTTACCTGGGTGAAGTGTCGTTATGTTTGTATATCTTCAACAAAGTGTGTTTAGCCAGTGCCACCAGACTTTAAGACAGTTCATCAGATATCTTGCTTTGGGTGGCCATCATTTTTGGCCCCTCTTCACCTAGAAGGTTGCTGCGGTTTTGCTCACCGCATGTCACGCAGGTCTCGCATCCCCAACTTGGCGCAGAACCGGGTCATCCGGCGCTTTGAGGAGGTGCGCCGTGGCACAGCCACAGAACGCCAATGCAGAGGAATGTCTTGGGGCGAGTCCCTTTGTGGAAAATTATAAAATGGAATGTCCCAGAAAAAAACCATTTGCCGCAGAAGATCCTGTTGGAAGGACACATGTTTGTATTTGATTTGTGTTTTGCTTTTGCGCCCCTGGAGCCAAGCTTGAGGGTGTAAAACCGGCCCCCTTGCTGGTTGATTCGGGGCCATTTAGCTTTGGGGGACTTGCTTATTGCATCCTTCGATGCAGCCCCCGTATCAATATCAATAAGCCGGATGAGCAAGGTCCAAAACCTCCGTATACATGTTTAGTAAGAGTTGTGTCATATCGGGGGCGCAAGCAAATTGATGCGTGGCTCAGGTGGTTGATCCGAGGTTCGCCAAAAATGCAACCAAGAGGAGCCTGAGCTAGTAGAATGCTCGGTGAAGATCAACTTGTGAAGCACCCTTGGATTCTGGACTCTACAATACCAGGGCCTATGCAGCGCAGGAACATTAGTTAGTCAAAAGACAATACAACGAGTGTGCTTCTCGGAGTAGCACTGTAATTGGCATATGTTGGGAAGCCATTTGCGAAATCAGAGGCTGTTCAAGGGATGCTCGCACCACCCTGGTCCAAGAGGTCGCAAGAGGTACGCTGATGCACTTTCGCTATTGTTTGTTCAACGTTTCCAGCCTGGTATGTTACAGATATTCGGATTGTCGCTGTTGCGTGTTGACGTTTACCGCATGCGACATGTTCATTGACCCTGATCATCATGATCTCTTTATGTTCATTTGAACATCTACTGTTATGTCAAAGATCACCCAACATGTACTGATGCAGCCACACCAATTCCTATGGAGCTTCAGCTATGCCAGGGCATGATTATGGGGTCTGTTTCACATCAGATCAGGGTCAGGTTGATGGCCCCTGCCTTGCATGGCCACAGGGCCGGTGAGAACGGTAAAACCGGTCACAGCAGACGAGGAATGTCTCAAGGATGTGCATTCCTCTAAATGTAACGTTCAAACAGGTGCTGCATGATAGAGCTCCATGGTTTCAAGAGGCCAATGAGATGTTGCAAAGCACGATGACATTTGGACACGATGAAGTACGTGTAGGTGTGTACCTCCTGTATTTGCGTGTCTAGGTGGATATTTGATAATTGTTCCAAAACGATGTCTTCTCTTCCACGAAATCGCACAGAAGGTTCCCACAAAACAGCATATCTTGCCGGACTCCGAAGGTCTCACCTTGGGATTCATGGTCTTGAGCGGACCTGTGACAGCAACCGAAACGAAGATGCGGCCAGGGTGGCGCTCGGCTCTGGCAGGTGGGCCAAGCAAAATGGCCACTGGGCCCGGCAATTGGAATGCGACCTTTGGATTAGAACCCCGATAATTATATTATACGAGTATCGGATGGATCCAGCATGTGTCTTCGACATGTTGCCATTTGCATAATCCCTCTGACAAGGATGTCATTTGTGCTTGCCTGAAAGTCCTTCGACTCGAGAAATGTCGGGGAAGAGAGATTGCGCCTCGTTTTCGAGGATGCAGCACATTCATAGGACAACCTTAACTGACCCAGAGATGCAGAGATGCAAGCGCCTCTTTTTTTTGTTGGGCGGGGTAGAGATTTGTAACGTGCAGAAGTGACGGCCACTTTGAATGGCACCTGGAGCCCAGTTGCTTGCCTCACTGCTGTGTACATGACAGCCACCTCACCACAACGAAGTTGTCGACGAGGCATGCCTTTCAGGGGTTTGCCTGGATCAACTTTGCTTTTCGTGCATTGCATGGCTTTAGACCTGTGTGCACCGAGGTCTGTGTTAGGCTGCTTGGAAGCAGGTTATAGCGCTTTGTGATGGAGCCCTTATTTGCCTCATTTGGGTAGGGTGCCCCACCCATCGCCACCTGTTCCTGATTCAAGGCCGGGGACTTGCTTGTTGACACTAAAATGGATTTCCAGACACCTGGAGCGGAAACTTCTTACCTCACACATGAGAGCCGTCTTGGGTCACTCCAAAAGACGTGATGTTCGATGCACTCGATGTTTGCAGGTCAAGCTGGTCTGCAGGCCAACCTGCTTGCCAGCCCCAATTCCAGTCCAATCCACGCCACGAAATCAATCAAGAGCTAAGCAACCAGCGGGAGCTCAATCAAGCTGCAGGAGCGATTGTTCCAGCAGCGTGGGTTTAAGGTCTATCAGAAACAAAGAGGTAGCCACACGTGCTCAACGCCAACTCCGGCTTATCAATGTGTGTTTGAATTCCCCATTGACGTGGTGTTGCTACATTTGTGGCACATTGCACACTCGTTGCATTGTCAGGCATTATGTTAGCCTCTGTTGGCTCATGTGAGATGATGTCATGAGGAATTTGTAAACTGAGGCAAGGACTTCTTTTTCCGTGCATGCACTACATTGGATGTGCGTCTTCATCCAGAAGGACTGCCAAACGAAATGTCCGCAGGCCGGGGCGAAGTTGGAAGCAAGCATGCCGTCGCGGGCACAAGAGGTCTTTGGCAGCACAAGCGGGGGACAGGCCAGACTTTGAGCATAACTCGTTTTGGGGGAAGCTTGCTCAAGCTGCTTTATTCTTCCTGAGCAAGCTGGAAATCCGGCGTCCCCCGAAGCAGATGTTCTCAAAGTCGGGGTCGTCCAAGCCTTGGACGCCAAGGCAACGCTTTAGTCAGTGCTTCACCAAAGCTTCGTTTGGCTGCCGCTAGGCCGGAGCATGTGCGCCTCCAGCAGCGAGGAATGTCGCCACTGGAGCTGCATGCCCGTGTGGAATGGGTGGAACAACGGTTTGGTTGGCTTCATCTAATTGCGTGCACTGGTGCATGCGTGTGTGTATGTGTGCGCGCAAGTGCATTTCTGATTATGTGTATGTGTGTCACCATCCTGACAACTATGTGCTGGACAGCTCGGCCTTTCTTTACTTGTGCCCAAGCAGCAAAGGCTTTAACGCCTTCCTACTGGTTTCAGCAATAATCCGTTCCCCCTATTAATAAATACGCCCCCCCCCAATTATAAAAAAAGTCCTCCCAAATATATATATATATATATATATTATTGTTTTGTTTCTCCACAATGTGAGGGTTCACATAGGATTTGGAGGAAATGGATTGAATTGTAAGGTCCGCGAGTAAGCGGTTTAATAAGGAAACTTTATGTATCGTTCTATTTGTTTGTTAGTTTACTGGTTGTTTGCTTGCAGCCAGGGAGGTTAGGTAATTAATTAGCCAGCATGTACGGGAGAGAGACAGTCGGGCTGGAAGCTTGTTAAAAGTGTCCCCTAATAAGGATTCCAAGACTTTAGTAAGGGTTTAGTATTGGCTCAATTAAAAATCAATTGGGCGGAGTGGAAATCTGGTCCCGGGCCCCGGATTTCGATTTTTTATTAATTGGGGTCATTCATTAATAGGGGGAACGGATTAGATTGCCCTGCTGCAATTTGTTTCGTTGTAGGCAACCATTTCGAACCACATATCTATACCAGATACCTGTTTGGATGACTTAAGCTTCCTTTTCCGCTCCATTTCAGCGCTTGCCTCGGCTCCATTCGAGGTGACTATGACCGCACGCTTCCCTTGGTACGAGACGTCTTCCCGCGCCCATTTTCCATCTCCGTGGAAGGCCCGCGGCAAAAAACTAAAACGTGTGACTGTTGTTGGCCACCTCTTGACAGCTTCGGAAGTGCTCATAGACACGCTGAGATTCCCGTGAGCAACTATAAACTGGGCAAGGCTGAATTCACATTGTAGACTCGGATGCATATATATTGTCTCACCCCTCTCTGATGTGTTGGGTCAAACAAGGTTCTGGTGTGCCACTTTACTATTGGGGAACCTGTCACACTGGACTTGCTTGGGGATTTCCAGGATGCTTTGAGGCACCGCGAAAGCTTCCCGGGACCCTACTTGGCAGGCCTGTAGGCAGCTTTCAGGAACCGAAATGCCAAGGTTTCTGGAGCACTTGCACATGGCACATATGTAGTTGTGAACCATGGCCCCTGCATTTGACAGGGTCTTGGGTTGAGCCTTAAACCGCTTGCTCACTTTCCTTGAACTCCTGAAGTCTTGCGGCACAAGCTGCTAACCGTCGTCTAGATTCCCTTGCTTACATCTCTCGTGAACATATCATGGGTAGCTATAAATGAGGCCAGAAACTGCTGGGTTGATGACTTCAGGATTTCCCCATAAACTTCTGATCCTTCATTTTTTGATGGCCAGTCCTTTGCCAATCCTGCGGACTGTTTGACAGCTCCTTGTTGTGTTGTCAGTTAGTTCCACTTCTTTCCCGTACTCCACTCTGTGTTTCGTTAGTCTTCCAATCTGGCAAGTTGCTGCACTGGTGGTTTCATGTAGCCGGACCTGCCCAGCGCTTCCAAAACAGTATCCTACTGTTCCCTTACTCCTCCCTTGCTTTTCCACTACTTTTGTGTCTCTCCAGTACTTTTCCAATGGACATCTACAACCTTTTTATCACACGGTCCACCCATTTGTTTCCTGACTTCTTGAATCTAGCACCATCAGGAGGCTAACCACAAGTAGCTCGTGTCTCTGTGCAGGATGAATGATGGAAAGTGGAAGGAAACCAAGGGCCGTTTTTGTGAAGAGGTCGTGTTTGAAGATACCTGAAGTTGGAAGGAGTTAAGGTACTTTCTACTGGGATTGCTTGATTTCCCCTTAAACGGGGGTCTAAAAAGGGGGTCTGAACAGAATTGCAGCAAGTCCAACACTGGATCGGTAAGAAAGCAAGCCAATGTGATCCGTAGCGCTTTGCGCTAGGCGTACCGGTTCGCGACATCACCATGCAGAATGTCCTTGATGCGCGTGGCCTGGCAGAGGAAACCGTAGCGAAGTGGCAGTCATTTCCACGGGCCTGCTACAAGCTGTATTGTGTGTCCGTGAGGGTTCCACTTTTGGGGTTCATTGAATGGGGTTCATTGAATGGGAGTCCAGAAAGCTCAAACACCAATTTGTCCAGGCCCCCCATTTTGACCACTGCCCATGTGAAAGGAGAGCCTGCTTGGGCATGGTGATACCCTTCCGATGGAAACGTACTGCTTGCTGGTAGGCATGCACGAGACACCAGCACATGTATAATGTGTATAGGCGGGCAGTTGGTTTACGTGCATAGTAACACACACACACATATTGTATGCACATGAAATAGATATATACACAAGTCATGCATACTTGATTTGGTATCATGTTCCACCCACGTCACGTACGTTATCGTGTGCAAACAACCGCCAGGCGACAAGCACACACACACAGACAGAGAGACAGTCACAGACAGAGACAGAGACACAGACACAGACACAGACACAGACACAGACACACACACACACAAACAAACACACGCACACACACAAACAAGCACACACACAAACAAACAAACAAGCAAACAAACAAACCCACAAACACACAAACAAACAAACAAACAATCAAACAAAGACACACACACAGCTCCGAAACGTCTCCGAAGCTGTTCTACAAGTTTGAGCCCTGTCCTCAAGTTATGCAAATTACTAGTAAGCCATGTGAGCTAATCCTTGACGCAACTCAGCAGATGTTGACGTGAGCAAGCCCGAAGCAAAACATTGCATCATGATTCTGAACCAACGCTTCCCAGTCTGTTGATTTCAGTTGCAGATGAGCTCTTCGCATGTCGCTCAGGCTCTGACTTTGTGCACTACCGAGGGGTGTGGCGCTTCCAGCCACTTACAGGCGCTCGGAGAATCGGAGTGCTCGAAGTTGCCCCTCGAATGACAAAGTCCAGACTTGACATTTGGATCTGACATGATCTCACTCCTGATTTAAAGGTTGCCCACCTCAATCTGAGTCTCCGCGCTGTTCTGCTGTAACTAAAAAAAGCCCGAGTTACTCGGTTATCATACTGGCCAAATCGGGGATGCGCTTGTCCCTGCTTCGGTTTCCCCAAAGGATTTCGGACTCGGCCCGCCTCGGACAGCTTGACCCAGAGTATCCCGCAACTCATGCCCAGATGCTGGAGAAACATTGACGCCCCGGCAGGCTGTGCTCAAGAGGGCGAGGACATGATGCGCCTGACATTCTCGGTGGCCTCTCGCTTCGAACTGATCATCCTTGCCTCGCAAGAACTGCAATACATGCAAGGGGGTGGGTACTCCCCTCCGACAAGGAGATGGTCCCTCCCTTCCTCGTACATTTTCTCTTTTGGTCACAATGGCAAACATGTACGGAGGGGGAGCCCATGTTGTTCGGAGCCGAGAGTGAGGATCACGGAACTAAGTGGGAAACACCAGGGGACCGCGATTAAGTGTCGGTATCCTGAGTGGAGAGGGCAAAGAATGGCAACTTATTTGAAAAGGCATACAATTTGTTCATTTGTTCCAGCAGTAGCAGGACATCGGGTATGGTTGCTGATCAGTTTACGCCGCCAAGGATGTTCGGTTAGTAAATGCCGCAGATGTATCGTATCATTGGAGAAGGGAGGATGTGTAGCTCAAGCCAATTTGCGTCACGACCCCCAAGTTCTTGTCAACGTCAGCATGGCCAGGCCCGGGGTGAGAAGATTCCCCTGCACATGCATTCAGTTGTGCGGATGTTGCGTATTCAGGTTTCAGCAGTGCACTACGTCGAGATCGTTGGTTGCACGCAACGATATATCATCAGTTTGCTTATTACGGTTTACCTCTTTGCATCTCATTGTATCACGTGAGCGGCGTTCTTTTAAAAAACATAAAATAAAATTCTGGACACAAGCTAATTTAGTAGGGAGAGGGACAATACTATTGAACATGTGCACCACTCGGAAGGATGCGGAAGGCTTCGCAGAAGCTTTGTGGCTAATATAAATTTGTTCAGTTTGCGTGCGTCGGAAAGGCACGGAGAAACGAGTAAAACAGAAAGGTGTTGCTGCGTACAAGAAACGCAAAGGAAACTAGAAGAGCAGTCGCTAACAGCAAGCTAAGAAGACCAAAACAGCCGGCGCATTTCGCGGAAGGGTTTGCGGAAGGTTCGCGGAAGCTCTGTGGAAGGGTGCCCCGCGTCTGCAGGCAAGTTACCCCCGTAGCACGGGTAGCCCAATCGAGCCCATGCCTACACAGGCTGCGGTGAAACACTATTTTCCTTCCTCAATTACAACCATTTTCCTTTCTGCACCAATACTCGCGGAAGCAAGTCCTGTAAAACATGCGCCGTGGAAGGTTTGTGGAGGCAAACAATGAAACACATGTGCAGCGGGCGGAAGTTCGCGGAAGTGACCTCTTGGCCCGCAGCAAGGATGCGGAAGGGTCCGCGTCGCGGAAGCTTGAATGATGTCCAATCAAGTTTGTAGGGAAGAATAACCAACGTTCACATTCCGAGCAGGTGCCAGGCAGGTTCCGAGGAGCCCAGATAAGTTCTGGGCAGCTTCTTCCCATCAGCTCTGCCTTATACCACAGGATTGCAGATGCAAGAGAAGAGAGGGCATGCGAAGAGACTGGGAAAGCATTCCAAGTTGGATTGCCTACCTTTGAGCGTTCCTTATGTTTGCTGTATGTCCTTTGACAACCTGTGTATCTCTATACCTCAGCTAGCAACGCTGGGTTACTCTTGCTGCAGAACCAGAAGGTGTCCACGGGAAGCCTTTGGCACTTTGATTAGCAGCTTCTAGATATTCAACAAAAAGAGCTACTACGTGGCACTGTTGTGTTGCTGACCTTCTGGAGCCCGGAAACCACAGCAAGGCTTTTCGGTGCATCCAACTGAAAACTGGAGGGTCGGGATGCCTGATGCATTTTTGTTGCGGCAGTTTCGGACTCAATTGTGGCTGCATATTCTGACAGGGGAACACCGTTTGGGCCAATTTGTCAGGTGAGTTTCCTCTAGGATTGATGTTTAGAGGAAAAATCAGGATACACTTTTTGGGGGGTTTCCTCTAGGGGCGATGTTCACAGGGGTCAAATCTGGATGTTTTCTTGGGTTGCTTTTCCGGGGAACCCAACAGAGGCCACCACCTCCGTGGGGATGTCACCCCTGGCCACGTGGCCCAAGGAGTGCCAGCCGCATTGGTTTTTGCCCGTGGCGCCGGTGGAGGGCCGTATCGCCGCAGCCATGGCCGGGCAGACGGGGCCAAGGGGCCAAGGGGCCATGGGACGGGACCCGCCCCCTTTTCCGGGTCGAAGCCAATGGGATTGGTGACCTTGGAGCCTTGGAGGGTCTCTTCGGGTTTGCTTCAGATAATAAAGGGCCTCCAAAATGGATGCTTTCCGTTTTCGTTTTGGTTTCTTCCCCTGAAATAGCAAGCCAACAATGGTTCCCTCCAAAAAGACATCCCGTTTGGTGATTCCCTCACCCCCACAGACCTAAACCCAGTTCTGATTTCCGAAGAAACAAGCACTGGGCTTAAGTCTTTGGGACAATCAACAATGGATGGAACCAACAATGGAACCCCGCTTTGAGGTTCATAGTCCGTCAATGTTGCAAGTGGCTCTCAGATACAAAAACAGGCCAACCCCTTGCTTGCTTTTACTTGGGTGTATGCGTGTTTGCTCGCCCCGATATAGTTGTGCTGTGTTGTGCCCTGTTCAGACTCAGCGAGCATGTTTCGAGATGTTTGACGTTGACTCGGAAGCGTGTTGCTCGAGCATGTGGGTTTTAACATACAACTAAGCACTAGAGAATATGTCCAATGAGTGAAATCCACTGGAGAGACACATGGGCAGTCAAGATCCAGCCCCTATCCGTCCGCAGTTCATGCTTGTTTGTCCGAACAACCCGGCGGCAGTAGCAGGTCTTTTGTAATTTCCGGTGTCTTTGCATTCAAAACAGCAGCTTGCTCCGCTGTTTGCCTTGAGTACAATGCTGGCTCTGCATGCGGCGGCACGTTGACACAGGAATAGCATGGTGTACCATTTTCCCTTCATTCCCCACCTGTTGTCCATCGTTGCTTCCCATAGGAGACAAGAACATACTGCAAGGCCCCTTGTATGCTGCCTGCCTCCAATCACCAAGCGCAACCCTTTTCGCACCACCATCATGACCCTTCGAGTGGAAGTTTTATATCTTGGAACGCCCTGCCAAGTAGGCCAAGAACACCTGCTGAGTCATTTGATGGCGCACACGCATGCTGGGGCGTGGAAATCGCTGCGACCCAAAGCCCCACACGGGATCCGAAAAAACTTGGGATCACTTGCAGGAGACCATCATTACCTTGTGCATCCGAAAGCAGTCCATTCTTCAATCCACGGGTCTCTCCCAACAAGCAGGCGGAGAACATGGTGGCGGTCCGTGACTTCATCGAGGGCCGCCGGGAGATCGCCAAGCGCCTGGAGGAGGTTGCGCGGCTTTTTTCCCCATGGCCACGGGAGGATTGGGATGTGCAATGTGGCTGTGGGTCAAAACCAATGGGATCCCATTTTGGGGTAGGTGCATTACCCATTTTAGAACCTATTTTAGTGGGGATTGGGATGTTCACTGGGGGTACGGGATTTTGACCAACAGCCATGTTACACAATGTGCGCGTTTGCAAGACATGGACACGTACACAACAGCGAAGGCAGGGCGGTGTGCAGATATGAAACAGCAGCTTATGCCGTGCAGTTGAAGCTGAGGCATTTGCAGGCTTTGCTGATGGGCTACTGAGTAGAACAACGTCTGGCCAAACCTTCCGAAAGGAACACACGTGCCAGCTATTGACTGTGAGCAGGAAGCTTCGAGCCTGGCATAAACCTGAACCAGCCTGTGACTAGTTTGGCCTCGCTCGGACACAAAGGTTCCTTTGTTTAAGCCATCAGAGATTCCAGCAGGACCAACATTTGTGGGAATGTCCGTCTTGAATGATTTTGAAACATCCATGGCGGTTACCTCTTGGGAAAGATCAAACTTGGACATGTTTGGTTTGATTGTTTTTGGATTTGCCCCTTTGTTTCCAAGCAAGTTACGCCAGGGAGACCTCAACTGTGCCAGGAACCGGCTGAACCACCGCCTCATGAGCTTCAGGCGGGGAGCTTCTTTCCGGCCCTTGCAGATGCCCATGGATGGTTGGGTACGTGTCAAAATCAGGGGAGCCCCAAAAAAGTTGGTCTTCCTTTGAGCCCCGTTTCTACCAACCAGGACGGGTACCCTCAAAAACAAACCTCCCCCCCCCCGAATTTTGGACCAGGGGTGGTCTCGAGGTTCATTTCAGAAAAGAAATTATAGGCGGACTGATTGGTATAGTACTCAACGTGCTGTTCGCAAGGTAGTTGGGCTTCGGTAGATGTGCGCCTTGCAGGATTCCTGTGGAGTTGGAATGACGCATTAGTAATCACGCAACCCGTGGCCGTGGGTCCTAGGAGATATAGGCTCAACAATGGCTCACCTATCATCCTGGCACCTTCAAGCACGTCTCTGCGAATTCCTGCGTAGAGGAATCTTCTTTTGCGGGTCCGCTTTTTTTTATGGTTGACTCCTTTGCTTTTGTGGGGTTTAAATCAGTTCCGTCCGTCCGGTTTGAGCCGAGGTGCCCCCCAAGTAAGTATATATTCCTATTCCATGTTGTAAGGCTTGCCAAAGATGTGCGGGCACCACCCCGAGTCGCCCCATCCCATAGCCCCGTCCCCACGACGTCGCACGTGTGTCAGGAGAGGCTTTGGCAACTCGTCCTGGAGCAGCACCCCGAGGTGCGGAAATCGTACATCTGCCTTGGGGTTCCAGCCAGACTATGCATATACCTAGTATGCCTGGCTCATCACTGAAGATCTCCGAGGAACCTTCACAGGACTGGCGAACATGTCCTGCCCCCGTGATAGCATGGAACTTCGCATGAACATCAATGTGCACTCATTGGGTTCCAAGGTTCCACGTAAGGGCCATTCGAAATCGCCGTGATCGATTGGCTTGGGCCACTCCCTGTGTCAGAGTTCGTGTCGCGGAAGCTGTGCAGATGCTCCGTGGAAGAATTCTCAACACTTTGCTCATCAACAAAGCTCACCCGGTGGAAGGTCCACAGAAGCCTCGCACGGAAGCCTGCTCATGATGTGACCTTGTCCATTTGTTCATACCGCTCTGGGCCCATTCCGTTTGCATGCCTCGCCGAAAGCGACATGGAGGAAGAGTGGGCCAGCCCACGAAGCATGCGCCAAGACAGCAAACGCTTGTTGGCGGATGTAGGATGGAAGCTCTCGAGAAAGCCAATCCTGGGAATTGACATGTGGGACAGACATCACAAAGGCGAGATGTCACACGACAAGCCACCGTGAATGTCTATGAACTGTTGTCTATCCATATTTCAATAGGGGGCCAGCATGACACCAACCAGTTGCAGGCTCCTGTTTTGATGCGTGCCCATGAGCTTGTTAGGGTTGCCCAAGATGTCAGTTCCTCAATAGTAGAGACCAGCCAACACACGCTATCCTGGAGGCTGCCATGTTTCCTGTCTGTGCAGGTTCAGACTGCTGGCAAGAAAGCTTTGGCCCCTGTGTTTTTCGTCAAGTTCTGGTAGATCGCAAGGTTGATACAAGAAATTCAGACCGGTGAGCAGTTGCCTTGCCGGCCGCTTCTATGTTGAGGTATGTTCTCTTGATTTGATTTTGGTGATATGGTGGGACGGCACATGCTGCAGGCAGCTCGACACGAGGCGCGGCCTGGTTGTCGATGACACCGATTCAAAAGAATTGATTGGCACGGCTGTGCCACAGGTATTGTAGCATGAAGCCAACCCTTGGCTGGGCTTGCACATCTCTAGACAGGGGACAGGAGTGTGAGAGAACAATATACGTGTGTACTTATATATATATATAGATGTCCAATGTATGCCATCATTTTGCCGGCGCATAATCTTTTTAAAGTGCGATTCGAGTCCTGAATGAGACTCGAAGAGCCATGCCGGCCCTGCCAGCATGTGATTTTAGCAGGTTCTGAAGTGTTCATGACAATCCTGTTGGGTCAGTGTAATCAAGCCATCTTGGTGGTGTTGTGCCCGTGCCTGTCTCATTGGTGATGTCCTTGAGATGGTACGAGTTGCGGCTACCGGCTCTTGCTTAAGATAACCAACAAAGTGCACTTGAGGCAATCGCAATGGGTTCTCTTTGATGCCCTTAAAAGTTAGCAATTGGTCAGTTGATGCATGGCGGTTAGCTGTTTACTATTGCTTTAGTTGAACCTTACCTGTGGAGCCTACTTTGAAGAGCTGGACAACGCCACAACCTGCTTGGTATGCAGGGTTGGTAGAAGATCATTGAACAAACTCCAGCCGTGCTTCGGTTTGATCAACAGAATTGTTCATGCCACGCGCCAAGCATGCGTCCTTCCTGGGTGCTTGCTTGCAAAGCCACCCTGTTTGTCCCTAATGCCAGATGCAATTGACAGGCCTTCCTGGGCATGCCGTTCAATCGCGCCTTTTTCGCAGTGTGGATTGCTAGTCTACTTGCCTGACTGAGCATTGGGAATCCATGGATTGGCTGTGTTTCAATCGACTGGGTGAAGAGCAAACAGTGTCAGAGCCAGTTTCGCCTTGCAGGTTGCAAAGTCGCAGAGTGCCGATGAACAGCTTGCAGAGGTGTGTAGAGGAAGGAAGCAAGTACCATGTTTGCTTGGAATTGTTTCGGAGGTTTGTGGTCCACATGTTTGGACACAATGCAACGTAGATGTCAAAACACGCACTATCTCTTGTAATTATGCGCTCCTGCATCGATGTGCCCAGATGCTTGCGCTTGGTTCATAGTGTTCCCCCATTTAGGGACGTGAACTCTCAGATGCACCATTCAGGCGGCTAGTTTCCCTAAGGCCAACATTTGGCGGCGCGCTGGCCACGCCTGGTCAAAACGTTGGGCATCTCCGAGCAGCAAGCCCTGGAGATCCTGGAGACGGACGTGACGCCTTTGCCTCTTGGAATTAGCTCCATTGGTTTCTGACTTGGTTGGGATCAAATATATAAAAAGGCTCCAAGGTTGGGATGTTGGCATGAGTGCGGGGTGAGGCTTGGATTTGGATTGGCCAGTTGCTGATTTCCCCACTCGAAATTAAGCGGAAAGAGAGCAAGGCTGGTGGCCTCCGACGACGTGGCAGAGATCCTCAGCCGCCTCGCGGCCATCTCCTCCAAGGAGAAGGCGCTGGAGCCGCCTGGACTCACTCCCATGGCAATTGAAACGGTTACGTTGTGATTTCCAAAACCGACCAAAAATGGATTTACCATTTTGAGAGCTATTCCTCATGGGTCTTTATGGTTGATTGAGGGGTTCTGAATGTCAATTTGGCAACCATTATCTTGTTAAGGTCGGCCTCCCAGGGATGATTTTGGGCCAGCATTGCTGCTGCAGAGGAGTAGCGGCATTGAGCTGTGGAGCTTGCTTGATTTGCTTTGCTTTGCTTTGCTTCGTTTTGCTTTGCTTTGCTTGATTTTGCTTTGCTTTGCTTGATTTTGCTTTGCTTTGCTTTGCCTTGCTTGCTTGCTTGGTTAGCAAATCTTTGAGATTCTCGTTGAAGTGCTGAAGCAGGATTGTGTTTTCACTTCCGAGTGAAGCATGATAATCAAAATACAACAACACCCTACACATATAGAAGATTGCCTCGGCGATTGGTGTGGGCCCTAGAACCTTTTGAGGTTCTTGTGCCGAAGGCAATGCCATGCCTATGGTATGCTCATGTAAACTCGGTCACGTGCTCATTGGGGACCGTAGGACCCAGTCAGATGAGCCACGTGCTCAAAACCGATTCGGGTAGATGATCCGGTTAGTAAGGGACGATCCCAGCCATAGCTGCGGATATCCGCCTTCTTAATCCTGTACATGGTTCTGGGTAGACCATTTTAGTACCAGGTTTTGATTGCGACTCAGATGGGGACGTCAAACTGGCATCTCAGCTGCCAAAGCTGTTTGACAGCAGCAGAGTACGATGGTGTCGGCAGGCTGGAACCCCAAGATCACCAATGCAAGTGAAAGGACTGCAATTCATCGTCCAACATTGGCTTCGGCCCTTCTATGTTTGGCTGCAGGAGTTTGCGTTGTTGTGTTAGCAAATCTGTTGTCACCTGCCACCCAAGGCTGATCGGAATCTACCCGTCGCTGCTGGCAAACGACGTCACCAAAACCAGGGGTGCGGACATCCCAGTACCGGCGGCGTCCGTTGACATGTGCCAAGTCGAAGTATCAACTTGCAATTTGACAAGTATGCGCTGACATGGATGCAATGTTTTATGATTAATATTGTATACTCCTATGGGGGGTAGGACATCTAGGTGTGTGTGTGTACCAGTTAGGCCTACGCGCCGGTACACGCACATCGCTTCCTGTCACGTGACAATCAGACGCCTGTTTGTTTGTTCAGATGTTTGAGATGGGCTGGCAGAGGCCTTGACACAGCCTTGCTTAGTGCCAAGCTCGACATATCTTTTGATTCTTTGGGAAGACAGCTGCGGGTGCGGGAGGCTACAGTCCATTGCTTGGAATAAGTAAGTGTCATTTTGCGAACTAAACAAGACCAACAAGATCCTTCTAGCGACCGAGAAAGCTGGCTCCAACTGTTTAGCCATTAACGCTGTTATATGGCTTCATGCTTTTCTCCACGCGGAGTTTGGTTTGAAACCAAGAGGTAAACAGCAATCTACTGCACTGCCAATTCAGTTCACATATGCTGGTCAGCCAGAACTGATGATCCACCAGACACTGTCACCAGCGTATATTTGTTTATCCATCTCCCGTTGTGTGACGCTGGACCTTGGCTCACTGGACTGAGGCCTGGGCATCTCCACCATTGCAGACATTTTATACGCGCAGCAAGTGCAGACTGTCATTGAAGATGTGAGCAAGGACGCCCAAGGCAAGATTGCAGCTCGGCCACGGCACAGAGCACGTGCTGTTGTGCTTGGGTGAGTGGATGTTTTGGCTGCCTGCCTGCCTCGCTGGTGGTTTTGAATGACTGATTCATTTGAGCAGGTGCCAGGTTTGTGATCGAAGCTGTTGTTGGGTCCGCTTGTTTGCCTGGACACATTCATGTGACTTTACTTCAGAGAAAATATTGGCGTTGATTCTAGAATTATACCAATGCTCAATCTAGAAGCTTCTTTGCACATTGCAAGCCAGGGCTCAATTGCTCTTTGGCCAAGTCGGTCGGCCAAGGAGGAGATCGAGCTCTACTCACAGATTTTTGCGGGCCTCAAGCCATTGGTCACAGGTCGTTTGAATGCTGAGGCACGCTGTTTGGAGAACCCAAGCTTGCACATGACTGTAGTCACGTGTTTTGTCTCTATAAGTATGAGTCTGTGGCCGTTGTGCCACTTTGTAGACAGTAGATTGGAAGAGACATAGCTTTCCTGCTTTTCTATCCTAGCCACGAATTCGAGATGAGCTCTTGGTTCGTTCAATCATGGGGTTGTTAAGTGCTGGGTAAAGAGCGGCCTGCAGGGCCTGCAGACGGTGAGACGTAAGATGCTGGAGGCCTGGCACGGGCGTTGATGATGGACATTATTCAAATCATTAAAACGTTATCCGAATCGCCATGGCTTTCATGGGGTTTTGCATGAGTCAAGCTCCATTGAAAGTGTTTCTACGCAAGTTGTGGCATCCCCTCAAAGAACCTTTTCTGAATCGAGATGCAGTAGAATCATTGTTGGAAGGGATCTGAAGTCGTTCTCACAAGGGTTCTCCGGACGTGCCTGAACCAGGCACTGACTATTTGCAAGGACCACAATGTAGCGAACTGGTAGGTTTCAGCGGTATGCATACGTCTGTGGACTAAGCAATGCGAGTGCATCAAGACGATTGCTTTGCCCCAGCCCCCAAGCTTTCAAAAGCTGAGCAGCTTTGTTCACACGGTATGCCGCATCAAATGTGGGACCAGATGATTAAAGCAGGCTCTTTGTGCTGTTTGTTGGCTCAGCTGCCTGAGCCCCCCTTTCAAGTACCGGGTGTTTGTTTCAGCTCAAAAGCCGATTTGCCAGCTCCCTGATCATGAACTCTTCCCTGAACCAGCCTCCGAGAGCAGAAGTGAGTTCTATTGACTGCTGACTCTTTTAGGGCCTCACCGAAAACACGCACTGGATAACTGGAAATGGACGATAACAACAGCTAGCAACCAGCTACTTTGAGGGTTGGTTTTGGGTGCCGCCCGCGGGTTTTGCTGACAAGTAGTTGGCGAGATGGCACGCTAGGCCACTGCGAAGCTGGTCCCCAACGATGCGCCGCCCGGCCTGCTCGATTTGAGCAGGGAGGCAGTAAACGGAATCCACCAGAGGGGACTTGATTTGCAAGAGTGATTTTTCTCTCATAAGTATTGCATTCTTGGGGCTCCATGTTCATATTTCAGGTTGATGTTCGCCGAAACCAACCCCCGATTGGAAACATGCCCAAACTCGTCTAAATAGAGTTCCACGAAAAGAACACATGTTTATTCGCTCAAGTCTCCCGCCAGAGCAAACATCAACACGTTCGAAACGCCTGTTGACGTGCCTCCAGGAATAGTAGTCATATCACCTAGAGTCTAGAGAACTGATTGCCCAAACAAGAAGCATCAAGCATCATCAAGCATCATCAAGCAAGCAAATACCGCAACTATTCCAAGAAGCAAACCACAACTCGAAACAGAAAATAACAAACACAGCAACAACAAACACAGCTACAACAAACAACAGAAACAAAAAAGACAACTTCCAACAAGCGGAACCTCGCGCAGGATTCCTTCCATTGATTAGCCAAGGTTCCGGGTGCTGCTGAAGCGCCTCGCAGAGGCGCCGGACCCCTTGGCCTTCCTCTTTTGGCCCGGAGCCCTGGGCTCTCAGGGCTCTTTGGGCGGGGCTTCAGCTGGTGAGCCTCAGGACTGCAACCCACGGGGTGCTTCATGCGGTCTGATGCTGAGCTTAGGTCTTTGTAGAGGAACCAGCAAAATGTATCCCTGGCTGGAGACATGTCTTGGCACAAGAGTCTCTGCAATCGTATGCTCTTCTCCTGTTTCTGGTGTTGGCACCCTTGTGGCGTGTGGTGTAAAGCGGAGAACCATGAGAAGCCAGCAGTTTGCTGCCTCCACAGTATGAAAAGAGCTTGTTTGTTGAAAAGCAAGTTATGAGTGAGGTCGCGACCAGAGGTTGCTACTTTCTGAGGTAAACTCAAGCAGTGCCAGGAGCCTTCTGTTTAGTCGCTGGCTCCTTCTTCCCCACCGAACATAGTATATATATAGAGATACGTATATGTCGAAGAGTAAAGGCACCAGTTCGGTTGAGTGAATCCTGTAAATAAAGGGTGCAGGAGTTTGTCCATCCACAGTAGGGAACCCTCATTTTGGTTGGCATATGCTTTGTGTTTAACCAATGTAAATGTGACAGTGACATATGAAGCCAATCATTTGAAGATATCGGCCCGCAAGGTGGACAAATCTCTTGTGGGACTGGGGAGAGATGCCAAGTGAAACCATCATACAAATTCCCATCGAGAAAATATGTGGTTTCCGAATAAGTTCTGGTAATGAGGACCCCTCTAGAAAACAATAAACTTCCGATGCCTGTTGGAACACAAAAGTCAAGGCGCACCAACCATTCGAGGCTTGCCGAATCCTTTGAACGCATCCAAATGATGCTAAATGCAGATTGCTGCCATGGAACGGTTCAAAGTGTGAGGCACACTTGGGTGGTCGGGCTGGCCTAGACATGTTGTCCGAACTGCGCATTTCGACAGATGGTGGAGGGCCAAAACAAGTCCCAAAAGGGTCCACAATGTTGCATCTCTCCGCGCCATGTTGGTTGGAAGCGAACGGATATGGTCGTGCAAAGGAATATGTTATAGTAAGTATCTTGTCAGTTGCGCTTCATCAATATGTGTGGACGTGTCAAAAGCAGGGAAGACGCGTTGGCTCTGCTTCGACGTTTGAACTGAGTGCATGTACTGTTTTTGTTTCTATCATGGGTTAGCTGACCTGCCACCGTTCAACCACGCTTGCCATCATTGACACGAAACCCGGAGACAAAATTCAGCTGATTATCGAGATGGAGCCACCCCAGCTGGAGTTGCTGACAACTCAACGATGCATGAAGAGGAAGCCTGAAGCCGATGGAATCCTCTTGGCCTAGCCAGCAGTTTAAGGTTGTGGCTTTGGGCACTTGTTTATAGCCGGCACAACAAACACTGTTTGTCCAACAACATCCCTGTGGCGTCAACATGTTCAATTGGTTGTTTTTCCTGGAAGTCACCAGGGGTTCAACACATTGTCTAACTTTGCCCGAATTTCAGCATGGCGGTGGTAGCATTGAGAGAAAAGGCCTGTGTACTTTAACCAGCAACAGCCAAGGGCTGTGTTGTTCATGGCACGTAAGCGGCACTATGCTTGATGCCAGGGACTCTGTAAATTGTCTCTGGCAACAACAGCATCAAAGGCAGTCCCGGGGCTCTCTCAGCATGCAGCGTTCATCGGTGCTGCACTGACATCTATCCATCGTGCTCAAGCCTGTCCACTTTACACGAACAATATTTGTTGTATGGTGTAATATTCTAAAATATAGATTTATACATATTATATATACACACGTGTATATTACATTTATGTACATATGTATATACATATATAATATACACATACATATATATATATATATTTCCATGTGGCACCCCGCTAAAACAACTTTTTGTACAACTGGGTAGATCTCTAGAAACTAGCACTTGCCCAGCTTCCAAATGTTTTGGAACTAGCTGGGTTAGCCTCCAGCCTCCATCAGTTTGCACTTTTCTCCTGTGCACGCCGAGGCAAACCCGAGCCGGACTTTCTGCCACTTGGCCACAATGGAATGGGAACTCTTTTCTGAAGTTGCACCAGGGCTGCTGAGTCCCTTTGGGTCGTTGTCCAAAGTCTATCCCTTGGCTTCGAAGTGGCTAGTGATGTTGTGAAGCGGGAGCTTTTGAAGGATGAATTTCCTTTGACAACTTCGTCCACCTACATGCATTTGGCATTTTGAAAGATACCCTGGCGTGCAAGTATTTTCTCACCACTTCAGAAGGTTTGCTTTTGTTGCCTGCCATGCTGTGACATCAGCGGTGCATCCAAGATGGCCCCCCTGAGTCGCGCGCTCCTTGGCAAGGTTGCTTTGCTGTTGGTTCAGCAGCCCTCCCTGGCTCTGTCCATCGCTGAGCACTCCCCCAGGCGCTTAGTTTTCAGCAGTGCGAGTTAGGGTGACAATGGGTCGAGGTTGTTCCACGTGTTTTTTGTTATTCTTGTTTTCCTGTTTGTTCCTTTTTCTTTTCGGAGTTCCGCGAGTACAAGTGAACCGCCTCAGCGTGGCACCAGAGATTCAACACACGTTCTGCAACTGCAAGCCGTTCTTGTTCGGGAACTGACAGGAATTGGGGGATGACCGTGGACATCTTGTAGCATGGTGTGCAAGGTGAAGTTGCTATCAGATCGCCCCAGGTTGTTCATGGCTGGAGGGTTTGCCAACCATGCTCCTTTCAACTTCTAAATTGGGCCCGTTATAAAACCGAGGTTAATTAAAAGGATCATGTGGCGCTTTGTTGGGTTCGGCTGGTTGCCGTTGTTGTTGTTCAGGTTTTTGTTCAGGGACATAGACATTTCCTACTTGTGTTGGGTTTGCAGCCACTCACATTGTCATGCTCACCTAGTGCTTTGTGTCAGGGGGTCCCCCAACGTGCTTTGGGGTAAGGCTTTCGGCAAAGTGTTCCAGCGAAGCTTGCGGCAAAGAAATATCACAAACTGCCATATGAAGCAGACAGGTTTGTGGCGACAGAACAAATACGCATGGGGCATGCAGCAACATTCTCCAATCTCAAGCTTCACCAGGCCCTTTAGAGAACTCCACCACTTCCTGCTCAACACCTTTGGGATGACCTGGCCCTTTCAGTAACCTGTGATGCCTTGATGATGCGGCCTTGGTTGATGAAACGGATTCCTAAATCATGCCACCAGAAACATGAAGCTGAGGTACACTTGACGGGTTTCCTTTAAGCTCCTTGCGGTGCGCAGGCTTATCCCGCACCTGCCGTCCATCTATACACGGCTATCCGTGCTGCAGCCCCACGTGCCCGGCGGGGAGCCAAGTGACAGCTCGTGCTCTCGCATGTCTGCAAACATGAAATTGATAAGGGGCAAGCAAGAGACAGTTTGCCAGCGCCAGGCATCGTGCGCATCCTGGATCCGTACTTGGAGGCTGGAAAGCATGCTGCAGGCTGAAAGGGCGACATTCCTTGCATTGTATAATCTTACCAATTTTGTTTACACACTGTCACTTGAACGCCAAACACTTTCACACGTTCATGCCACCACTAGCAAGAAGCACTTGGGCGAGTGACTTGTCCCCCAGCTTTGTGTGACAGCGTTGTTTGTTTGACACCCTGAATACATTGGGACTTATCTATAAGGAATGCATCTAAACAATTGATCATTTAATTAAGATAGCACCCAAAGGATGGAACATTGATCAAGGCCCGAGAAAGTTAATCCCATCATGGGCCATGTCAATGTGCTTCTGTTAGCCTGCGCAAACTCCTAGGCACCGTCAGGTACCTGGCAGACTGTTTTTTTTTGCGGTGGCCTTGAGACGCGTTGGCTTGTGCCCACCGATTGTGACCCCTGATGAACCCTTATGTGCCTGTTCTTGGACATAGCCTGGGCGCAATGCTTTGCTCAGGAGAGTCGTAGCTCAGCTTATCCTTTGAACACCCTCAATTGTCCAAAGCTGAACTTTTGCCCGGTAGTTTCCTCGCTTTGGCTATTCTAGTTCTACCCCTTCAAAAGGGCAAACCTGTTCTTTCCAGGTCCTTTGGCTGTTGACCTGTCGAGGTGGTGCGACCGCACCTAGACCGCATTATGGAGCGAATGGACAAGATCGAGCCGCACCTCCCCTTCATCCTGCTGAATCTGGACGGGTTGAGGGGAACAGTCCGCCATCAATGGGACGGACGTGTTCACGCTTTGCCATGTTGTTGAACGGATTCTGATTGCCACTAATGCGCTAGGCAATTTGAGTCATGTTGTTTGTGTCTTTGTGATTACGGCTGAACCTTCATTCCTACCATGCTTGTAATGACTGGAATCTCTATGTTTGACGCCGTGTTTCACGCTCAGGCTGAGATGGTCATGAGTCACCACTAGAAACGATTCAATACTTTGTGCCGACCTCTTAGCGCGAGGATGTGCTGGCGAAGCATTGCGGCATTCTACTGGACTACTTTGATGCCACCTGGCAGCATGGCCGGTTCGACTAAAAACCCTCCGAGCCTACTGCGACAAATTGGATTGGTCAGCCTCCATTGGAAGGCTTTGGACCTCAGAAAGGGTGGCTAATTTCTTGACAGCTTCGTGTTATGGTGGATCATGCTAGTTCATTTCAGGGTGAAATCCCAGGGTGTGCCTCGCACTCATAGAAGCAATAGTGGGCTTCACCCTGAACATTATGACCATCACCCCTCACAAGGAGTTCATTGTCCATGAATACGTCGGTTCGCCACTTAGGACCTCCTGCCTTTCGCCACACTGGATGGCGAGGAGGACCGCAAGCTCGCCATAGCCATGGGTTGAAGTACTTCGTGAGTTATCCACGTGCTTGGGGCCAGTTGAAAGTGCGAAACACTCGGGCATGGACTGGGGATGTGGCTTGTGTCAAGGAGTCTGTTTGCATGCAGCACAACTGTTTGTTGCCCGGTTCAATTTCTCGAAACAGTAACCTTGCCGAGCATCGCTTGAGCACGTTCCATTCTTAAGATCACACAGCCAGCCAATGTGAACCCCAGGATGTTTGATTTGACAGGCAAATCGAGGAATCATTCGCGCATACTCCTGGTAAGCCTTCAATAATAATATGGAGCTGGGGGGTACCTTATGTTCCTTTGGTGAATGACTACAATTTGCCTCACTGGGGTGCTAATCTGTAACTAGAGGAATCCGCAACCACTGAAGAAAGCGCAGGACAGAGGCGAAAGCGACTTAGCGGCATTTGCGCAAATGCCGTTATAGGTTTGCAGCGGTTCTCGCACAGCTGTAAGGTGTCTTCCGGAAATGATCATGCCTATGTCCAACCAAGGCTTCTCTGAATTCCAGCAGTTTTCAACATGGCGTTCCCCTAGCACTGTGTCCTACTCCCATGCTATTGGCCTAGCTTGAAAACTGAGACTGAAGCGGCATTGTTATCATCGCTTGCAAGGCATCTAGATCTGGGCGCAAAAGCCGAGGAAGTAGCATTGGGACCTTCTGGAGTTTATTCCGCCCATCCGCAGCCATATACAAAAATCCGGCAAGACGACCTGACACATGCACACATGCCAGACAGTTCCGCCCGCTTGCCATGACACCAAAACACATTGAAACAAGAGCAGAACAGCGGAACACTGCCTGCGTCAGGACTTGATGCCAACTCACTACTTCAATAGCAAAGAGCTTTCCACACGTCCATTCCAACGGATTTATCAAGCCAAAGTTGGCTCTCCGCGATGACGGTCTCTTGGATGCACCGATGATGTTGTGTGTGGCAAGGGTTGTGCAGAAAGGTTGCTTCATGCCCCAGGACGTGTGATACCTGGCTGGGGTCTTGTTTCTTACCAGCGTCAGAACATGAGTGACGCTATATTCTCACTGTCACAGACATCCATGCCTTGGGCATTTAAGACAGCACAGCTGCACAAGCAAGAGGCGCTGGGTCTTGATAGCACAACTAATACTGTACAACTGTACACCACCCGTGCATGATATATTATGCATAATGCTCACAACAACGTAGTCTTTCTTTTGAACAGGCATCAGGCATCCCAGCAGCGCGTGATTGAATTAGAGGGGCTAAGCTTCTGTTTGCTTCAGGTGCTTGGTGGTTTCTCTCTGCCGGCACATTGCCGGAGGTTTTTCTGCATGGGCGTGCTGTGAACACAAGGCCGGCACCTGAATGCTTGTAGGCTCTTTTGGTGCGGTGCATACATGGGCATACTTTGCATTGTCAGCAATGTGTAATTCCCTTGGAAGTTGACGGCGGACAGGTACTTGCAGAATTAGCTTTGGGGCGGTGTGCTTCTTGGTGCAACTAGCTTCGGAGATGCCCCTTCAGACGAATCCTATGCTTTCTTGCGCACACAGTGAGGTTGCTTGCTTTGGTGACCATACGTGCATTTGCATGCACATTGACAACGAGGTGGTCAGGTAGCTTCCTGGTGCAGAAACCCACTGTTTTGGAACGGGAAAAGACAACAGTAAAGTACTTCTTTTATTGAGCACTTGACAACTTTGATTGCATGGTCCAAGTCCAAGCTTGCGTGTTATTTATTCCATCATCTCACATTAACACACAACGTCGATGCTTACTTGGCGAGGCCTCTTGTTGGTAGTCTCAGCAGCGCAGAGCCGCAGTTCCTTTCCGCCATGCGGGGATCGGGCAACTTTGTGATGGTTTCCTTTCGAACCCAGCAGGCATTCTGAAAAAAGACGATGAACCAGGGGAACAAAGGAAACTCTTTTGTTCGCGTCCGAACTTCCTCCTCCTTTGCCACGTCCTTTTTCCCTAAGGAGATCCGCCCGGCTGGCCGGGAGGTGGAGCTTTTTAACGACCACTGCTTCCGGCTCCTGCGGCAGAAGGCACAGCTGTGGCGCGGACGGCATCAGAAACTCCAGGGGGCGTTCCTTATCAGGCTGTGTCTTGTTTCCGTAAGGTTTCTACGAAGGCTCCTTGTTTGGGCGGATGATTCCTTGGACTTCCTTGGGTCGGTTTGTTGAGGTTTCTTCTTGTTGCCAGGCAAAGCGGAACCTGACTCCGCAATGCTGGTCTGGTGTTGCTGTCACTGGCGCCTGTGTGTGTTGTGCAAAGGCCATGTTGCTAGCCTGGCGCTGCCAACCCGTAGTGTGCGTGTGTCCAGCTCAAAAACAGGTCCAATCCCCATCCCCCCGCCTCATCCAACAGCGTACATGCTGAGCCAACGCAGGGCAAGTTTGCTGCGCAAATGCAGGTAAATCACAAAGGCAAACGTGAACTATGTCTTTTGCAAGTGCAGCATTTGTTGCGCGATAACAACATAAAGGCTGTGGTGTTGGTCTTGACAGCTGTAGTGCGATGCCATCCGGTGTTGCGCATGCAACCAGCACGAAAACGGCCCCCTTCCCCCCGCCCAGCAATTCAAGTCGATCAAGCGGCAATCAGGTGTCTTGTTGGCACGGCCGTGAACTCAATGGGCAATACTGATCATGTACCATATCTATCATGTAATGGAATCATATAAGTTATGGTCAACTATATGCGTTGATCACTCTAGTAAAGCGGGGTTGGCAGCATAAATTTGCAGAAAGCCTCGCAAAACACTAGGGCCCTGCCAAAAAACGACAAGATGGGCAGAACGCCGTAAAGCAATAGGGCCCCCACCAAAACGTTAATTCCGATTCAGTGTCGCTATGATATCTTTGGTGCATTTTGCTGGGATGTTAGGACTTTAACTTTTTGCCAACTACTGGGTTATCTAATTAAGCCACTAAAAGTTAAATTTTTAGCAGGGCAGAAAGCAAGCAAGATATCGTGGCCTTTGCCGCTCAAAGAAGGGAAAAACGGGAAGCCACTCAAAACGGAAAGCCAGGGGTGGCGCACTGTGCTGCCAAGGTCGGATGGCTTCATCAACGAGGGCTGGTCCATGGCAAGCCTGGCTGGAGGCTGGGAGCTTCATCTTGCGGCGTGTTTGCTTACATGCAGAATGTTGTTTGGGGAACACCTGAAGGCCGGAAAGGCTTAGGTTTGCAACATGGTCGGAAATCGGAAATCGCCGACAGCTCGCGAACCATAGAGAATGGATTGAACCGAACAGTCTGCGGAGTTTGGTTTCCTGGGGTGGGTATGACTACCTTGTATACCGCTGTACCCCTGGGGCTGCCGAAAGTGCGGGTGGATGACATACTTTTTGTTGGTGCTTCATGGTTCACTGATACCAGTTTTCGCTAATTCTACATAATTATGGGACAAGCATTGCCTGCTTCAAAGGATACGGGTTGGAACACGCTGCATACTTGCAACCCGCGTGGAGGATGGCAGCACTGTTACTCAATTAATTATTGCTGATTCCGATTCTTCATTGTTTCCGTCAAAGGTTGAAACGTATCCTGACAACACATTATGCTGCTGTTATCGTTCACATATATAGTATACATCTATCCTTGGTCTTCCAAGGACCCGCAAAACCAGGGTCCTTCTTGATTTTGATCTTGGCGCCAAATGGAAATTCGGCCAGAGGCCTGCTTTTCCAGGGTCCTGGAAGATCAAGGTATGTGTTTCACAATTAGCCAACGCTTTCACTACAAATTGATCGAGCGCACACACGCCTGGTAATTGAACCTTGACTTCTGACCATAGCGGTTGGTTAAATTGGGTTAACTGGGCTAGGAGCAAGCACATGGCCCGAGCTGCAGTGGCAAACGTTTTCAACATAGCTATGATATGCGCTCGGTGCTTTGCAGAGGCGCAACTAGAACTATACTGAACAGGGCTTCTACCAGCACATCCGCTAGATCCGATCCACGAAGCGCGCATCCAGGCCCCCCACTCGGCGCAAAAACGAATGTGCGGCTTTCCCATGTTGGCTTTTGACAGAAACCAGCTAGCAGTAAGTGGGCCAAAGATCCGCCAAAACCAGGTTGTTATTTGCTTCTCTGGGTTTCCTGTTAGAACCACCCCAACAGGGTGCCCTCAAAAAATCTACACCCGCACCGCTGCCGCACTCCGCACTCCGCACGTCAGGGGGAGGCAAGGGTGGCACCCTCATGGCAAAAGTGGGCAACTTCATCGTGAAGGAGCTCAGCGCAGGCGGACCCGTTCGGGGCCCACCGCACGTGGATATTTTTTTGGTCCGGACCTGATTTGTGGTTGCCCTGCTTTCCCTGTTGCTTTGGGGCCGCAAAGAACCGTGTGTTTTTTTTGGCGCTGGAGATTGGGGATGGGAGGAGCCACAGGAAGCTGCCAAGACTAGGTGGTAAACCCCTGGAGATTGCTGGTGGCAAGATGTTGTGACAGGGACCCGCTAGGCATTGCTGGAACTTTCAGTATGTATGGCAAAGCAATGGGCCAGTGTCATAGTTCACCTGGCTTGCCAACTTTCATGTTTGATGATGTCTGATGTGTCACAAAGCCGCTTACAGGTGATGCACCTTGCATAACGAACTCTGCATAGCAAATAGGCGTTACTGCCATTCGGTTGGCAGAAAGCCAAGTCGGAGCAATCTGGGCTTTTGTCGAATTGTTACCTGCAATGACTTCATCAGCTCGCAGATTTGAAGATGCTGGATGGTTTCAGGACCATTTGCAAGAAGCACGTACAAAGGACAAGGCTTATGGTGTGTGGCAAACAAACAGGTGGTAAGCACTTCTCAAGTGTTTTCTTGGATTGTCCCCCCCCAGTTCAGGATCGGAATCATATTGGCCCCCGGCTCTTTAATTGCGGCACATTTGCCACTCCCTGAGTTTGTCAGCATGCCTCACAGTCCGCTAAGCCTTCCAGCACCTTTGACGGCTAGGTGACCATAAGACGCTGTTGCAGGTCACAGATAGCTTTGGCCTCCCGACTGCACAGATGTTTGAGCCCCCAAGGCAAAGTTGAGTCAGAAGCATTGGTCTTTCCATGCTATGGGTCACGTATTTTTTTGCGTGCCAAGCTGCGGATTTGTTTTCCGGCAAATAGGGAAGTACCATCAAGTTTGAATTAATTGCCAACATTGCACAAGCTTATTTCAATTAGCTTATGGTGTGTCTCTGAAGTAAGACTTTGGATCGCAAGGATTGTTTTTTTGTTGCTTCTTAACCTTACCACCTGTCGTAGAGCCATCCGAGGATGGGATTGTCACCATGTTTCTCATGCTTAAGTGCGTCTTTGGGCAGTTTTCCAAAGAGCTGTTTGTGATGAACAGGGCAGCCTTGACACACAGTGAGCCACCCTTATCTTGTAGACTGGGCTCTCGGCCAAAGTGGGTCGTGGGAGCCCTGTAGACTCTTTAGGGGTCGCATCCGTCTTTCGCTTTGGGCTGTGTGCGGTGGTTTTTGAGGACTTTCGGGGGATTCAAAGTGGACGGGACGAGTGTGGCTTCCATTTCCAGTAGCCCTTGCAGGCCTTTTTGAGGAAGGGTTTGAAAAACATGCATTGTGAAGCATCACTCTATCGTTGGTAGCGGGTTTTGCTTAGTGGATGTTAGTTTTGTTTTGGTCGTGGTTAAAAGAGCTGGTTTTGGGTGAACACTGTGAGGATTGGGGAAGCCTCGATGACACACAGGCCTATTGGATACTATCGGAGAATCTCACAAAATGGTAGCCATGCGTGTTTCTTGAGATATTTTGAGCACCTGCAGTCCCATCCCGAAGTCATTATAAACCTGGGTTTCTGCAAGGGTTAGTTGCAGCCTCCACACGTGCTGCAATTTTTGCACTCGGATGATCGGCAGCAATACGACATAGATTGAGCTAGTCGAGCTGTTCTCTTGCGTCGTATCTTTTGGTTTGTTTGCACTTGTCATTCCGAGCTGCTCGACCCATCAGTTCCTCAATCTGGCAAGCGTTTGGCGCTGAACCTCCTAGAAGGCACGCCCGGGGTCGCAGATTTCTCAGCACGAGCACCTCCAAAGAGGCCGCTGCTGGATGCTTCTGGCCTGTTGAGGAAATATCATGACCTGGCGGCTCGATACTTTGCGCAAAGTTGCAAAGGCGGTGAGCACAATGATCTAGTTCAGCATGTCGGTTGGTGGCTCTGCCAGCTGTCCAAAGTTAGCAGCGCTGACACTCACTCCCGCTGCACGGACTCGCGGTGAAAGGCAATGTCCACAGTTTTCAGTCGCAGCTGGAAGAGAGCTCTTCCCCTTCCCGCACGAAGCCCCCTTTGCTTGCAGGCGCTGGGTGCAGCGGAGAGGGCGCTTAAAACTGCCTTCGAGTCTGCTGACAAGGCATCGCCAGAGCGACCCACCTTCTCACATGCCTTTCCATCATCGCAGTGCTTGCGGATGTGCCCTTCTCATCGATGAGCAACAGGCGTGGGAAAGATTATAAAGTATGTGACTTCAATACCGTTTGTGTTTAGAGAGGTGTATGACATATCCCACCAAACGTCTATCTTTAATCAAGGGATCAGCGATCCACAAAAACAAACTTCCAATACATAGCAAGCCGGCAACGTGTTCATTGCAATCCGTACAGGACAATGCGGAGGGAAGGTGGCACCCTGCGTGTAGAGCACCTGCAATCATACTTGTAAGTAGATTTGGCTGTTTTTACAAATTGCACGGCGAGCGCGTGCATGTCAAGCACATCTCCCTTTGTGCCCAGCCATTTGTTGTGCAAATGGCCAGACGCAGAGACTTGATACATGGGTTCCGCTTGCGAACTAGTTGTGGCACGCAGTAGGTAACATGTTAGGGTTGGCCCTGTTGGCCCCATCTGCCTTGCGCAACCATTCGCCTGGGCGGAGTCGCTGTTGAGGCGAGCACTTGAGAGCTGGTCCATCCCTGCTGAGCCCCATCTTCTTGCACTTTAGATTCTTGGATGGCATTGAGATCAAGTGGCGCCTTTGCATGCTTGTGCATTATGTATATATATATATATATATCTTTGCACATAGGGTTCCTGAATTGCAAGTCCTCAGCAAGCGGATAGATCTTCAATGCCCTAATCAACAGTTTTCACAGAGCTTCGAGTGCAACATTGGAGAACGTTATTATTTTATTCATATTGCTGCAGTGTACACAGCCACTCTTGCTGCATGATCCATTCAACCCACAAGGGCATCCCAGCCCAGCTGGAAAACCGACTTGTTGCTATGACCAGCACTGTGACACATTTGCGCAGGCCCAAAATGGTTGAGATGTTGCTCCCTCAATTGAAATGCTACTTGGCATGGCGAACTGGAAGATGGCGTCATCCCCCGTAGCCACTTCGAACATGCAGGCTGTTGCTTGAGCGTGGAGCAGCCAAAGACCGGGCTTGCGTTGACCTGGTAGGATGTGTTTTGGAGCGGAGTCACGGGCACCCCTCCCTCTTTTGGCCACACAGAAACGGGTTGATCAACTTGGATTCCTTGCCTAGTGATTCATCTTCGGGAGTCTTGCGTCAAGAGACGATGGTCATAAAGTATCCCGAATAGACCAGCAATTACTGAATAGAAATTGGCAAACCAGCCGTGTTGTAAAATGATGTAAAATGGGGCATGGGCCAAGCTAAAGCGTTGCCAAGGAGACAAGGAGACAAAGCGCTGCTTCTTTGCCATGCGGTGACTTGGCGCAAGGGACTGACGCAGTTCAAAGGATGGGTCGATTTTACTGCCTGTGTTGAGTGCTAACATTGTAACATGCACATGTGTGAGCTACAATGGAACCAAGGGACAAGGGACAGGAAGCTTAGCTTTTGATTGTAGACCCCCTCCGTTTTGGGTAGATTGTTTGAGTTCGTCGTTTCGATCATGACTTGTTGTGGGGATTTGTGTGGTACAGAAAACCAGCATAAGCCAATGTTGTTCTCTGCCAGTGTGCGGGTTGTCATCATACGATGGGTGGTGCGTAGACACATGAATTCACGTTGCCAACAGCGATCCCGACATTCCCCACTAAGTGGTGTTTTTTCTTGCCGTGCTGAATCCGGGAACGCCTGCATTTGTGAACCATTCTACACGCACGGTCAGCGTTGCTCAACCAAGGCAGCCTGTGAATTCACAACCCAGAGCTTTGATAGGGGTACACCAGCTTGGAAGTGTATGGCCATGATAGATGATGCTCGCGGCGAGTGGTGCGTTCAGTTCTGGTGCAGTTTCCGTCGGCTTGCGGGCTGTCCCTTAGCCGAGGAACTGCGTGGGCAAGGGCCCCTTCCAGGCGCGGGGCGTGGATCGGGCTGGACAAGTATTACATGAGCAACCCACTTATTGACAACTGAGCCACCACTCGCGGAATTTGCGGCAATTAGGCAAGAGCTGCTGGAAATGCCCTTGAAGGTCAGGGGATTTTCTCTTTGAGTTTAATGAAGAAGGGACTTCATGTGCGACACGCATTCTTTCAGTTCAAGCGAGTGTGGTTGCAGTATCCAGGACATGTATAAGAAGCTGAGCACAAAGAGATCAACCTGCAAACCTGACAGGCCCTTTATGATCTCAAGGGCTGCGCCGATGACAAGCTGCTGGAAAAAGACGGTATCCCCGTTACAGCAGTTCACAAACGCATTTGGCTCCTCGGCAGCCTATGTCAAATTTAATTGCGTGGTACTTCAGTTCGAAGCGACAGATGTCATCCCAATCTGTGTTTGTTGTGTCGCTTTTTGCTGAGTCGAGCATGCGCTCCGAACCCTGGGAATGCTCTTTGCCAAGACAACACTTGTGCCAAAATTGCCCAAACACTTGAATTGATTGTAACTGCAGCCAATGTTTCAAATGTATTGTTTCTCATGCTTCGCAAAGTCGCAATGAAAAAGGCCGTTATTGTGTCTTTGCAAGCCTTCTACGCAAGTAAGGAGCACACTTGTACACTCGCAATTCGCACAACAAATATTATGGGTATTGATATTTTTGCAATTCATGACTCCGTCTTCTGCGTTGGGATACACACTTGCTCCCCACGGGCTTTGTCCAGCTTGTATGGTGGGCCCACGCGGTGTTTGAACAGGCCGTTTGAAATGGATCTGTCAGGCCCGTCCTTCCGTTTTGCTTGTTTAGGTTTTCAAGACGGGTTTCAGCATATGTTTGCTCACACCTTCCTTCCACCAGAGTTCCTCAGTTCCCTTTGGTGGACTTCCCAAAGTTGGAAACTGACCAGCTGTTCAGAGAACAATCTGCTGGCCCCTGTCTTTGCAGTTAAGGTTTTGTTTTTCACGCCGGGTCAACCATGAAGAGTGACCACATTTCTCAACAGCAACAGCATGCGACTGCCTACGGGGTCTGAACCCTTGGGTTTGGGGAAGGCTTCTGGAGGGTTGCTGGGGAGGTTTTAGTTGTGTTTATTTCCAAACAAACTGAGTGGCCTCCTGAGGGCTTCCCTTCAAGCACCATCCAAGCGGGCTCCTTTACCATTTACTTTTTTGAAGGGTACATGTTTGGGGTAGTGGACACTATAAACTGTCGGGCTTCTTTTGCGGCCGAGGAACGTGCCCATGTGGTGCTCCTGCACCTGGTCCCAGGACCGGCGCCGCTACTACGAAGGCAAGTTGGAGGCTCGCCAGGCGGGGGCCTGCCGGGAGGGGGGGATGAGGTGGTGTGGTGTGGTCGGTAAGTGAAGGGTTTACAGCGGCTCACAGAGAGTAAAACAGGCCTTGACAGAGGTTAATACGGTAAACAGTGGAAGTTGAGTTAGCTACAGTCCTACGTACTTACAAGGGTTTAAGGGTGGACCGGAGGTCAACTGGGCGCTATGAACCACTGGGAGCAGGTCAAGTGAGTAATGATCATGGTTAGAAGTGGTGCAATAGGCGTTGGCTGACTTCTGGTGCTTTCCGTTGTTCCAGAGCACCGCGCCCTTCCCCCACCCTCGCGGTCGACAAGGTTCCGGAAACTGAATTCGGGAGGAGCCCCCTCTCCTGTTTTCAGTAATGTTCAGTCAAAGGAGCACGTGTTTTGTGTGTTTCAGTGCTGAAGAGTGCCAGGATTCGAGTATTGTTTCTATTATTCGAGGCCTTTGTGACCTCAATTCTTTGTTTAAGCAACTGAAGCAAGAACTTGCCGCGTTTTCTTTCGGAGTGGCTACAAGCCTTGGGACTATAAACAAAACTTGGTGTTGCCTGAACAAAAAGTATCGGCAATGGCTTGTTTACTTTCTTAACAATGAGTCAACTCGCCAGCAGTTGAGAGCCATGGGGTCTCTGCCCAGATAGGATCGCGGGTGGTTTGGGGGCAGCTTTCAGGGAGGGTTGCGGAGGGGAGGAGGGGAACAGTATTAATGGTTGTGGATTGCCAAAACCGGATTGGGAGGTCGTTTTGCCAAGAATGACATGTTTTTGTTTTGGGTTTTAAGCAGCTCAACAAGTAAGATGCACATCTGAATCTTGCTGCAACGGCCTTCGCAACAGCAGCTTCATTCAGTGGCTATGCGAAACCAACCAACATGAATTGGGTTTATGTGAAGAGACCCTGATCATGGCCGCTGGGAGGGAGACATGGGATTTTGCGAGTTGGGTCGAGAAGTCCGGTGCCGTTGGCGTGCCAGCACAGTGACCCGTCCATCACACCTCCTTCCCACTGGTGTTGGCCAAGCTTTGGTAGGTAATGTGGGGGGTTGGTTCCTTTGGCCTGTCCAATGATGGGTGTAATTACGTCGTTTCCTTTTGGCGGATGTGGCTTTGTATTCATTCGCCAGGTGGACATCCCCCTGCCGGCAGAGCAGAGGGAGGCCTTCTTGCTGGCACTGCGAAGAGATGTGTCCTGGCTGGCGGGGCAGAACCTTATGGACTACAGCCTGGGACTCAGATCGGACCGGCCAGCGGCACAGCGGGCCGGACCTGGTCAGGCTACGTAGAGGACGCGGTAGAATTTTGACTCTGGCACCCTGAAAGCAACCCGCCCCGGGACCGCTCATGGCAATTTGGGGCCATAATGACATTGGCAGTCAAGTCGAGGTCTCCTGGTAGCCATCAAGGAGATCAAGGAGGAGCCGAGCCAAGGCTTGCCGCCTGGCCAGCCCTACATCCACGAGACGCCCCTAGGCTTTTGACAGCACCTGCAGCGCCTATCACACAAGCACCAAACTTCACTTGCTGTTTGTTGCAAAAGGAGCCGTTGGCATACTGCGCGGCTTCATTGTATGTTACTTGCTTGTGGGCGCTCATATTGGGCTGTGCCCACCCGAAGGGGCAAGAGAGAGAGAGTTGGATGGGATGGTGCAGAAAGAGAAGACGTATGCCTCATCCGTTGCTGGCAATGTTGGCACATAGTGGTGCCAGGGCCCTGAATGGTTCAGAAGCTTTGGGAATCGGTAGATGCTTGCACGGAACCCAAGGAAAAGTGGCATTCTCGTTTCCGCCTCACAGACTGACTGCTTTTAGGGTGGCTTTCAAGCCGGTCTTTATGCAAAACGCGCTTGCCCAGTCATGACTAGAGTCTCTGGCTATGTCATTTGAACAACCCCACGACATCATTACTCCGGTTTGTTTCGAATGCCAAGAGTACCCTCCCGTTGTACGCCATTGCAAACAATAGGAAACAAGTATATTTGTTTACGTGCTGGCATGATCCCTCGCGTTGCCTTTAGCACAGAAGCGGTTTTGTCAAACAGCATTGCTGGCAGGAACAGTATTATTCAGTCATCATATACGCGTGCTTTGCCTGGCAGACCGTTTCGATTGGCAGTGAGCGAACTTTGATTGCAAAGCTTCACCCGCTATATCTCTCAATAGCTCTCACTCTTGAGCAGTGATCGCCAAAGTGACAAGCTTTTGGGGGAGATGCCGCTGTCAGCAAGGCATCAAACATGCGCGGACACCGTGGCACTCATTCGCATGTGTCAGTGTCTCCAAGTCGAAGGTGACCAAGTTTTCATAGAGGGAACTTCATGCGAGCTACCTGAGGCCCGAAGGGCCGGTGGCAGTGTACATCTCCATTATTGACTTCTTGCCAGAATCTTAGAGAGCGGGGTCATTTGCTACTGAAGCGCACGTTCCCCCCCCAAAAAACCAACCAGGCGTACAACGAAGGATGACTAGCCCAGTCCACACCTCTAGATGTGTCCCTTGTTTGAAGCCTCACCCCCTCATTTGCAAGGCTTACTGCACACCTCTCTATGGTTTGCTTCGTAGAAGGACCAGTATTACAGTTTGCAAGCCTGCCCATAAATAGTAAATCAGCTTAATCAGTTGTTGGGCTTAGTTGAGCTTGATGACTCAAGCCCTCTTGGACAATGTGAGGAAGCACGCAACAGCTCAACACAATCGATATGTTAAGGGGACGTGTTTGGGGCTCATATCATTGGCCTTTCGGTGGTTTGCTCTGGAATCTCGGCTGTTGGCTGCTGATGGACTGGTGTCAGCCCATTGCCGTCTCAGACCGTCATAGATGGTTTCCCCTTCGAACCTGTGCTGGACAAGATGGAAGGGCCAAAGACCTAAGAATCCGGCGGCAACATGGTCTCCACATGTTGTGGGGTATCCGTTAAACGTATGTAATAATACATGTTTGTGCAAGTGCACATTTATGTAAACACAACTATTCTAGCAAGACAGGCTTTGTCCAGCCAGCAAGTTTCTCAATCCCAGAGATTTCAGTTACCTCTATCGTAGATTGCACAATGAAGCAAGAAGAGCTGCCGAGTTGGATTACAGAGCAGGAATGCAGTAAATGTCAATTCCGACAGCGGATTCATTTGGAGCGGTTCAGCAAACAATTAGTCCTGCAGCGACGTGTACATGTCCTGACCATGACATTGGCGCACGCACACACACCAGTTGGACGATCCCGGCAGAACCGAACCTCAAGAGGTGGTGTGCCCTGTTTCAGCGCTGTGGAGCTTGGGGCTCAACGGCCATTACCAGCACTTGAGAGATGTGCGAGGACTAGATTCCGTTCATGTGAATGGAAGCTGCCTTCCACCTCACCAGGCGTTTGCACATTTTGAGGAGTTGACCTTGTTTTACATGCGGTGTGTAGCCATGGATTGGAGGCATGCCAGTTTTGCTGAACTAGATTTCGCACTGCACAGGTATGCATATGCACAAATACACATACAAGCGCCTAATTGTTCATATGTGCATGCGTATGCACACCCACAAAGGCACATGTACTTATATTACATATACACACTTCCGCATCAACGTGTAAATGGGAGTTTTGAAATTCGGTTTGTCC